GGAAGAATTGTAGCAGATGGAGCAGCACAAAACATTAAAAAACAGCATTTAAACACAATCCTTAAACATTAAGGGTTTGTTACAAGTTTCCAGATTCTCATCCGATGAATTTGCTATAAATCTCACACTCATTGCTGATCTTTCTTATAGTCTTTTTACAAGACTTGACCTTTCTCAAAGCCCTTGAATGATTGAGGCAAGTCTGCTCCCTTTGTCTGTTGGCACTGTTAAAAGGTTTTCCTAACAAATCTCTCTTGCTTCACTTCAACCCCACCACCTCTTTACCTATATGCCAGATAAAAAGAGAAGAAAGATTTTAAGTAGCATGAGGGAGGAAGTGCCAGGAATTTCTTTAGGTGCAGTGCACATGATTAAATGTGTAGTATATTTACAAGAAAAACAATACCTCTTCCCAATGTCCCTCTTTGGCTCTCTTTGCAAGATTAATGTTCTTAGAATCTATTTTGAACGCTACAGCAAATACCATAGTAAACTACACTTTGGTTCAAGTTGCTGGTTACCAATACATTTTTGGCAAAAATTCTATTTAATCTTTCTATTAATTGTTTCATCAAAGAAAGTGGAGATATGCCAATGTAATTTGTTCCAGTCACAAAGTTACAAGGCATTGTTAAAGAAGGATCAAGCTGTTAAGCAGAAAAGACAAGATGAGCTTGATGACTGGCATTACCGGGACGAGATGAAATTCAGATCTTTAAATGAAAAGGCATGCACTTAAGGACAATTTATGAGACTACAGGAACACACAGCTGGAAAGAACTGAGAGTAAAAAGATAACAGAGCCACAGAATGATGGCAAGTTGCCACTTGTGCATTTTAATGCTCAGCCTTTACACTGAACAAACACAATTAATTTTTCTGAGGAGAGGCTGGTTATTGTTTTCCATTTTATTTTATTAATCAAGATTGTCTGTAGATGAATGGCTCCTAGACATCCAGAAAAAGACTCAGAAGTTTCTCAGCTTTGTGCTGTCAAATATAATTGACCTTCATGTGAAATTTGTTTACATGGAACACACAACATTTCTTCAACTCTGCCCTTTATATGGGCCATCAGTGCTTTCCTGAATGAGTAAAAGAGAGGACACAGACCACTTCATGCTTTCCTACATGCCATAAAAGTGGGAACATGGATACCACTGGTGTCAGAATTAATCCTAAGGTACATTCATGGCTGCAGGCTGGAAGCGACACTGCAGTCAGAAGCTACCTGTTAGCAGAATTGTCATTGTTCCATGTTTATATTTGAGGTAGTTTTTGATGTGCTTGAACAAGAATTTTTAAATGTAAGTTATATTTTATTGATACTTACGATTTGATTTGATCATTATCTCTTTCTATCTCTATTAATTTTATCTATCACAATATAGCTACATAGCATCTGATGACTGTATTTTAATGATTGTTACTAACTTCTCTAGATGTACAACTGCACTGTCCTCTTTAGAAGTACATATATTTTTGCAAAGATGGCAAAGACAGTATTGTATCTGTGTCTCTGAAATTCTTGTTCTTTTCACCTTTCACTCTAGCAAGACCACAGACAGGCCAAGTACTGGGATATTTTCTTTTTGTCTTTACTGTTCACTGTTTTTCCTAATTCTGTTTATCTAGATAGTATAGCACTTGTGGAAATCAAATCAATGTCTCATGTAATTTCTGGTCCATGCAGTAAGAAACATACGATCCGGCTAATAAGAAAATTTAGCATGGAGTAACAGTCACAACAGAGCAAAGTTCCTTTCCTATATTGTGTGAATTAGCCACGCTTTTCAGGTACTTGGTTTATTTTCTTAAGCAGCTGTACAAACGTATATACAAATTACATCTGTAAATAATAAGCATCCTTTTGTAGTTGGATCTTTTACTCCTGTGAATCTGTGCTGTCTCTTAATTCTTTTATTTTGAGACTGCAGAGCTGCTTCAAGTAAACCACAATACTAATTTAAACCAGCCAGAAGTTTTCATGCAAAGCTTTTTAGCCAAAAAAAAAAAAAAAAAAAATTGGTTACAAAGAAATGTTTGCAAAATTTCTATTGATTTCGTGGAATCATTTATGAAATTACAAAACTCCATCAGAATAATTTTCATTTAAAAAGCACTTTTAATATTATCTTTAAATATTCTGTAATGTCTAAATGATCCCAAACCAAATCAATAGTTCTCATGCAACTAAAATATATTTCTTGTTTGGTGTATTTGTTCTTAATTGCTTCAAACTTTTGAAAACTCTCTTTTGGTCCAGTCAGACTGTTTTTTTCTCTCGCCACAATTGCCAAAGAATCATCTTGGTATTTGTCCTTCTCTTTCTTGTCCTCTCTTAAAAGCCACAGAAACGGCCTCTTTTAACCTTCTGTATTTTCCTTTCTCACTTCATAGTGACCCTTTGCTTTTTATTACTTTCCTCAGCTTCCTTAATCCTTTTCACAGCGCAAGGAAAGGAGGTGGCTGAGGGACAGAAGTAACTGGCTGCTTGCAGGTCTGAATCTATAGCTACAGGAATGTGTTGCTCAAGAAGTTTGAAAGAGATTTGGATATGGCTGGGAGTAGGAGGGAAGGGCAGAGTATTTCTGGTGCTGAGAAAGAGAGGATAAAAAAAGTGAGATTACTGCAGCAGGAGAAAGAAGATTGAAAATCTGTAAATGTAGAAAATACAGAGAAAGGGTGAGAGAGACAAGAAGCAAAATGGCATTTAGGTGCTGCAGGGCCAGGAATGGTATCTCCTTGGTTTGCCATCTGGGAGTGCTCCTTGCTCTTTGGTGATTGCGGCTTGCTTCTTGCTGATGGATGGCAGTTGCTGTACAGGAATTCACTACTGCAGTGAGCATTAAAAACTTCAGTCCTTCCCTTGCATTGCTGAGATTCCTAGATTAAACATTAAACATATTGTATAAATGTGTTTTAAAAAATAAAAGCTTTAATTTAAAATAAGCCAGACTGCAGAGAGACTCAGCAACTGCCTTTGTTGTACACTGTGCAGCCTCCATTTTCCTACTTCTCTTTTTGCTATCCCTCCTACTTTCTTTTCGGTGTCACCTTTCAGTTTTAACAGCTATCGTCTCAACAGCAGTAGCTGCTTTATATTCAAAAGAATTTGTGAGTATCCTGAGACCTGGCTGGTTATATAAAGTCATATATTTTAGTCGCAGAGTCTCAGTTTAAGCAAGTGCTTGAGTGTGCAAAAAATTCTTTGCCGTTTCTGACGCGAATTTTTGGATGTACATCACTACCATCTAGTGGCAGAAAGAGTTACAACACCTAGTAGGCTCCCAGGAAATGCCGGGGTTGACTTCAATAACCAAGATCCTTCAGCAGGAAGTTAGGTGTGGTCTGTAGGAGACTTAAAAAAAAAAAAAAAAAAAAAAAAAAAAAAAAAAAAAAAAAAAAAAAAAAAAAAAAAAAAAAAAAAGGAAAAGACATGATGGAATTTAGCTGCAGTGTTCCTGGGTGCCATTCCAAACCCAGTAAGTGCAAGATTCTACACTGGTAATGAATTTTTAATTGTTTCCAGCAGTATTAAGACAGAATTATGCCTTTTAAAAATGTTTGTGATTAACAATAAAATCTGGCAGGATTCTGCAGCAGGACCACTTGCATTTTCCTAATTAACCCTTGTGCTGCTGCCAGTCTGTGTATTGTTCTTGCAGCAATTTGCTACAGACCATCCATGACAGAATGCCCCAGGTGCTTTTGCCTGAAATGGAAGGGGTTGTTTGTAGGGAGAAGTTGGGACGTGTGTGCATGTCTGTGTAGGTGTAAAGAGCCATATGCATATGGATGAAAAGGAGGGGAAAGCATTGTGCTGCGGTTTATTTAGCAGGCTTCCAAAATCCGAATTTGTTGCTGCTGTGCAGGAATGTGTATATTTAGGAAAAGAGTAAAATAGGATTATTCAGATTGTATTTTAACTGTTGCATTATTTTAATTTGATAATCATTTCTTGGATATATTGACTTACAGAGAAGTTACTTTTTTATTGCATTTGCTGGATTTTTAATGTGCTTACTCAGGATAAGGACTTGAGAAAAATAATGGAAGGCTACAGCCGAGGTAGTGTTTATGATTTCAGATTGAAGTGTTTGCATTAGGAATATTTTTCATTTCTTCTTTTTAACTGAGCTGTCTGGAGCTATTAAGAAAAAATGTTCTGCCCTTGTTAGTGAAAAGTTAAAAATGTTACTGTACATTTTGTATGGTATCAGTCCTAAAAGTGCGTTATCTAATGATTGAATACAGTTTTTGTTTAATTCAGCAATTCTTCCAGTGCACAATGTGTTGCCAGGCAGGGGATCGGAATACAGGTGCTTGTGCCTGATTCCTTGTTTCCTGAGCTGGCAGCTCTGCAAAGGCAGCATATTTGTACCTGAACAGAAGGAGCATCTCATGTTGCTTTCAACTGAGCCCTCTGGCCCTAAGCGCCAGTAGTGGATTCTAAGAGTCATTTTTGGTCCTTTTAGCTAGAGGGATGGTTGGTTCAAGGTGCAGCTTAAGCAGGATAATAAAGATGTGAACTGACTGCATTCTAACTCCTCAACACTGATCTGTAAACAGTTCAGAACTGCTCATGCCTCGCAGTGAATGTGCTGGAAAAATATCTTCTATTTTATTCATTACCCTTGAAAAAGAAAAGATGTTATTGTATTACATGTGACATTTTTATACATTTTTTTTTGTTTTGTTTATGCCAAACTACCTTGAAAAGTATTAATAAAATTTTAAATGTTACCACCAACAGTCAAGCTGCAAAGGAAAATGGTTTATTCTGAAATAAAAGCAAATGAAAAAAGCAACTTCCTCTTGGTTGATAATTACTGTATTTAAGGAAGATGTCCCACAGAAGTTTCTGTGCAGGTATATTCTTTTGCATTGTATGTGACTATTTATGTTGCCCTAATTTTGTGTGTGTGTGTGTGTTTATATTTTTAGCGCTTTTTTTATGAGGGAGGCTAAACAGTAATTAAGAGGTGCAGGATGAAAAGATGGCACAGTCAGTGCTGGTACCACCAGGACCTGACAGCTTCCGCTATTTCACAAGAGAATCACTTGCAGCTATTGAACAACGTATCAATGAAGAAAAAGCTAAAAAATCCAAACAAGAACGCAAAGATGATGATGATGAAGATGGCCCAAAGCCAAACAGCGACTTGGAGGCAGGAAAGACCCTGCCATTTATTTACGGCGATATACCTCCAGGAATGGTATCTGAGCCCTTGGAAGACCTGGACCCATATTACATCAATAAAAAAGTGAGTGTATTGTATCTTTCTGTGAAACTGAAAGAAGATGAAAGTACAGCAGACTCTCTTGGCAGGCTTAGCATTCCCACTGTTAGAGATCAAGTCTTTGCCATTATATTCTGATTTCTTTCTTTGGCAGAAATCTCAATTGTAAGAACAGAAGTTAGAAATTCAAGTTGGTGGAATCCAGTCTGTGGGTAGAAGTGGATTCAGGTTTATTTTAATATATTTGGCATTTCGTTAAAATTTGTAGCTTTCAGTGTTTTATTCACAGGAGAACTATTGAAAAAGTAGCACAAGGGCTATCTTCAGCATGCTATTTTTTCATCAATTGATCTATAAGACATGTGAGTAGCAGATCATTTTGGAGTCCATCTCCAAGGCAGCTAGACACCTTCTCCCTGACTTTCTTCATTGTCACATGGAAGGCTTAGGCTGCATTCTCTTGGATATGCATAAAGGATATGAAAGTATGGAAAAGTAATTTCTCAGGATATGTTGAAGGTGTTTCATTTTCATTCAGTCCGTTCAGTAGAGAACTTGGAACTTAGATACTCTGGGTGAGAAATTTTTCATATCCGCATTTATGTTCCTCGTTGATTGAAACACCAACAAAGGAAGTGTTTGACAGAGGCAAATAAATGAAGAGAAGGTAGAAATTCCTCTTGTAGTGTCCAGAAAGTCTCATGTAGTTTTAAATATACTTTATAGACATGTTCATTTAAAAAAAAAAAAAAAAGAGGAAAAAGTAAGAATACAAAAAATAAGAACACGCACGGTAAAACCCAGCAACAACTGTGTGGCCAAACACAATAGTGCTAAACTGTAGACTGTTACCCATCTGGCCATGGGTTTCCTCCAGAATTCCATTCCTTCAGCTTTTGGCATAACATTTTTTGTATTATTTTTGTACTATCAGTAAACATGGAAGAATTTTTAGGAAAAAGAAAAACTGAATTAAGCAAAAAATAATAATAATTTAAATATTTTTACTACAAGAATTAAGGATATGCTAAACAGAGACAACAGCTTTAAAATAAATCATCTCTACCTTAAGTGTTCATTGCAGAATTTCCAAAACTCAATTGATTTATGGAGAATTGTGACTTAAATTTGAAAATTAGGTTTCCAACTAAATATTTCTTTCTACCTAGTTTACTCGAGTGGGTAATCCTGTGGAAGACCAGAAGTAAGGCAGAAGAAATTTGGGTCCAAATGTTGATTCCTTTCCTTCCTCCTTTCCCAGTTCCACAGTAGTAAAAATCTAAATCTGGTGCTGGAGATCTTTAAGTTATCATTATCATGATTTGGAAACCAGAAAAGTACTTCTGGAATTCTCCGTGCAAATGAAGTACAGTCCTGAATTTCTTGCCCCTGAATTAGGCATATATAGCAGTTGTCTTGTTCTTTTGCAAAAGCATAGCTTCTAGGTTTCTAGCTCAAGACATGAGACCCCAAATTACATATTTTGCAATCATAATTTCTTCTGGTATTTTTCTTGGTGCTCTTTGTATATTTTTGAACATTCCTACTTGTGTATTTAGGTCAGATTGCATTTTAATTTTTCAATTTGTCTTGGTAAGCCAGCATTGCTCAAATGATGTATCATCAAATGTTGTGTCAGAGCAAAGGAAACGGAAGACATGAAAAACTGATTTTGGAACAGAGTTTCTAAACTCAAGGGAGAATATTAAGAGAGTTGAAAAGCAGTGGTAGAAAAGATTCCACTTTAGAGATGAATTCTTTCTCCTTTACAGTTAAGAACCTAAGTATGGTCTGAGAATCAACATGTGTCTGTGTATCTGAACATATGTTTCATTTGGAAGAGCTAAAGTTTATGATTCCAAGCACGGGGAGGACTTGTGTTTCCTGGATTTCATCTGCTGCATTTGGCACACCTTCTCAGAAAGTAGAGTCTTTGAAAACACTGCCCTCTGATTCCAGCTGAGATAGGTGATAGCTCCTGGCAGTGCTCCAGCTTTTTTTATGGGTTATGTCCCTTCAGGCTTTTTACAGCTGTCACAATGGTAGGTAGATCCTCATATCTTCAGCGAGAGTGAACTTTCACCCATGTTTGGAAAGAAAATAGAAATAGATAGGAATTTACCCAAATGCGTGGATATCTAAATAATTTTTAAAAGCACTGCATGTTAAATAAACTCTTTATATTTCTTTCTCAGGCTTTAAGAATACTGTTACATTTATATATAAATAAATATTTTATATATATATGCATATATAATGCTGGCAGTATACACAAATCATTGCTAAACCATGGAGAGATAGTGAAAATACGTAGATTATTGAATTCTGTATTAGGTAAAAGTAAAGTGTGGTGTAAGAAAAGTAGACAGAGTTGCAGGTATGAAGCTCTCGCATGAAATAGTTACAGGGAGAAGCAATATGTTTATTATTTCTTGAATTACAGTGAAAACTATCCACGTATTTATGTTATGACCAAAAACTGGTTATTGAACACTTGCAATTTCCTTTACACTATTTCACTTTTGAAAACCATATCACTCCATGGTACTATTGCCTTAGTACTTCTATGGTATGATAATTAATTCTGGCTATTTGATTAAGGAAATACTGATGGTTTCATGAGGTTTTTTTTTTTTTTTTTTTTTTTAATATTACATGCACCAGTAGATATATTATAAGCTATAGAATGTATTTTAGCGCCTCAATGTACCTGTCTTTATTTTCTAGCTAGCAATATCAGGATTGCTTATGATTTCTAAATAAATTCTTAAAACATTTTAATGCAATTCCATTGTATGTGAACTAGACAAGGGGATTCTGATTCTGAGATGGGCAAAGTGGGAAATGCAAATAGAAGAGTTTGACCATATGTGGTTAATGATGGAATGAAAATGATTCAGAGTTTGACCTTATAAACTGTAACTTGTTGGTGTCTTTTAAATGTAATTTTTAATTCTGTGTTTCTTTTTCCAGACCTTCATAGTATTGAATAAAGGGAAGGCAATATTCCGATTCAGTGCCACCTCTGCCCTGTACATGTTAACTCCTTTCAATCCTCTTAGAAAAATAGCTATTAAGATTTTGGTACATTCATATCCTTTTCAAGTGGTCAGTCTAAAGCTGTTGTCAATGAGATGTTGCTTAGTACTTAAATCATTCACTGGCACGTGTGCATGGTTGATATGATCTGTAGTGCTTTGTCTCTCTTCTTGCTGTTGTTTCTCTCTTCTTTTCCCCTTTTTTGTTTGTTATTGCTGGATCATAATACAGCAACATCAGGAGACAACCAGTCATCTCTGTTTACAATTTCTTCCTCTGTCCTTCATCTTTCACCTCCTTTTTTTTCTTCCTTTCCTCTCATTTTCCATGCAATCCTCAAGCTTTTTTTCATCTTTTCACTTCCACCACATTTTTCACAAACTGCAGGTATATTCCTCTAAATACTTTCAGTTTATCACCAACACCGTATGTTAAAATGAAATCTTTGATCCCAGCTATGTACTTGGTTGAATTTTTAGTGAAAATCTTGTTTCGTTATTCCTTTTCATTTTTTGATTCAGATCCAAAGCTAGTTTGATAGAACAGCTTAGGTTTCTTATTTGCATTCTCAGCCCTATGTAGCTGTCTATTCCTTCATTGTTATTGCTTTATGCACTTGTAACCTTATAAACTTTTACTTCTGTCTATGTAGGTTGGATTTTCCACATTATTGGTAGAAATTTATAAAGCTAAGTAGTCATAATGACAAACCTATCACTTTGTCTTTCTCAGTATTTTGGTATATGAATAAAATAGGCATCCTCACTGTTGTTGGGATTTCCCAGTTCCACTGTGATAAAAATCTAAATTTGGTGCTGGAGATCTTTAAGTTATCATTATTGTGGTCTGATCCCAGATACTGATAGAGGGTCATTGAGGGCTTTGACTTCAGTAAATCTGATTACTTAGGAAGCATATACAAATGTTTGCACCCTGATATTTCACAAGAGTCTAACACAAACACATTGAAATCAGTTTGGTTTTGAGTGCTTTTTTTGGTTGTGGGTTTTTTTATTTTCTTGGTGGCATTACATAGAGGGGTCCTAGGATGCCGTAGAATAACCCTTGGAAGGATTCTATTATACTTCTGGTGTAGAAGTTTGATAAATGTGATTGTCTAATAAATGCTGGACAACGTTATCAGTGGCTAGCCTGCAGATGACTTCAAGTCATTCAAAAGGCAACACTATGTAGTCGGTATTCACTTGCTAGTGGTGTCACTACAAATAATTATTTGACAGTTATGTGACACTCCATAGCTTGTAACAAGCAATTAGATGGAGTAATGGAAGATTGTAGAACTGAGATGGTGGTGAATAGTTGGAGTGACCAAAGTCAAAATACTAAAAAACTGTAATATTTTGGGAAGGTATAGTCCAGTTATTTCTCCCTGATGAAAGAGTAGTGAGGATTTTGAGAGGATATTTCATCATAAAGGGCTTTGAAAGCTGATGTAAACATAGACTTGTAAGTACTCATTATGTGCTATGTTTTAAAATAGTGTCTTTTCTCTTGTGCTCTTTTCGATATGAATTGTATAGCAAGAGGCTACCTTCTGATTAAAAGATTTAAGACACTTTCACAGATGTGAAAGATCCAGAGATCTGCTGGCTGTAATGCCATACAGTTCAGAAGTCAGAGGTATTTACCGTTGCTTGAAGTTTTTACTTTATTTTTGGTTAATGTAGACATACAGAGGAAACGTGAGGGGAACATCACAATACTTGCCACACCATAATACTCAGATTTCTAGATTGTAGCAGGATGGAAACCTGCATTTTAGTTAGAGAAATTAAAGCTTTTCTAAGAACAGGCTTTGCTATCTTTCTAATTTTTGGTGATGGTGCCATCATGTGGACATTGTATGCTTCATCTGTGTGATTGGTTTTCATTTTTGTGTTCCTGTTTTCATCTGTAATGTATTAGCCCTGAAATTGAAGGTTTGTAACTACAGAGCAGTTCTGTCAAAATAAGTGAAAGTGTTTATAGCATGGAATTGTTCTAAGATTTTCTTTAGGGTTTTTTGTTTTTTTAGAATAAAATGTGACTTGTTCACTACCACTTTTTATATTACAAAAAATGTAGCTACAAAAAGCAAATGCAGATAAAATAATTTTCTCACAAATTTATCTATTCTCTCTATTAAAATGTGCCAACTAGTTTTCTATATATGTATATATTATAACAAATTTTTGATATGTGCCTAATTTTATGGTGAAAATTAAAGGAAAGAAATGAAGAAAATGTACCTTTCATTGTTTTATATGCAAGAACTAGATGGTATTTGTCTAGATCATCCAATAAAAACACTTTTTTGGTGTTATTCCACTAAATTAGAAGCCACTACATTCAACGTTCACGTTATTATTTAAAAAGAGAAAAAACATCCATGATATTGTTATTTTTTTTCTATATTTTCTATATATTTCGGTTTTTCTAATTTTTAGTGTGTGATTGTCATAGCTTTAAAAAAGTGACTATGAAAGCACTATGCTCAGTGCTTTTCTCTGAGTGTCAGCATTGCAGTGGAGGGATAAATATCTCCTGATACTGGATGTCTGCCAGACCAGGATCTTGTTTGATGTTCTTTTAATGAGATTTTCTGGCTTACATTCCTTAACTCTTAACCCACATTATTCAGCATGCTTATCATGTGCACTATTTTGACCAACTGTGTATTTATGACCATGAGTAACCCTCCTGACTGGACAAAGAATGTAGAGTAAGTGAAATGGATTTTCTTTGAACTATATTCAGTCATCTGAAATAAACTGCTATTAATGATGTTACACTAATAAGGATAACATCTACTGACAGCAGCTACTTTGTAACATGTTTTGAACAGCCATTCAAATGCTAACTTCTTCTGTGTAATACTGAATCAATATATTTTACAATGCTTCCTTCATCAAGGAAAGTTCAATTTGCATTCTCTGCAATCTTAGGTGGGTAGTGTAGGAGCAGGACTCTAGTCTTACAAGTATGTAAAAAGGATGGATGCATTGCAGGAACTGGCATAGATGAAGGGTGCAGTAAAGACAATCTGTTATTGAATGTTTTCTTTTTTAATGAAAAATAAGCTTTTTCAAAAGTGTTTCACTGACTGGCTAGTCCTCCCATGGGAAATAGCAGCTAGAAAGAGAAAAGTTCCAATCTGGCATCAACCCCAGTCATCAATATGCACAAAATGCATATTTTGTGATTGTTCCAAGGCAGTGCAAAATAATGCTCTTTATGATGCTTCATGTAGTAACATCTTATGCTTCTGATGCAACTTCACTTCAATCTGATTTGGATGATAAGTACATGTTTAATCTTCAGTAATCAACAACGAAATCATAGGACAATTAAAGTCAGTGTAGGCATTCTCATTTTGAATTACGTATGAACATATGTGTATTCAGGATATCTAGCATATAATATTCACGAATAAATATAGCTGGCTTGAATATTTATTCATGTCACATTGTGCCCTGGTGTGTGGGAAAAAGTTTTTTGCTTTTTCTTAGTGACTGAACTGAAAAATATCATACAGGAAAATTGGTTTCAGGTTAATTGCGTCTGAAAACCAGTGTGAGCCTTTTAAGCAGTTTAGCTTGAAACAGTCTGTTTTACCTTCTTTTCCATTAAAAATATAAATGAAACTAGATTTCAAAAAGGTGTCATTTGGAGATAGAGAATTGAAATGACTCAGAATGCCAAAATTAAGCATTTATACTTTTTGTATTTCAGCAAACTTTATTTAGTCAAAAAAAGCACTAAATTTCATTGGAATCTGTAAAAAGTTTTGATTGGTCTTGCACAGGATTTTGCATCTGAAAACATTGATTTTGTTCCAGTACTATGCTTCTCTAGCTAAGGGTGAACTACTGGCTACAGCTACTCTAACAAAGTGAATGAGGGCTGATGTGATTTGACACATTGCCAGATCATGGTACTCTATAACATTTCAGCATAAAAATAATACTGAAGAAATTAATATTAAGACTGGAAGCAACTTCTGAAATCATGACTTTATAAGTTTTTTCTTGTAACGTAGAATTAGTTGGACATAAATATGTACCAATGAAGTACAGGGAATTTTGCAACTGACTCATTAGCATAGGTTATAGCATTTGAAACTCAATTTATGGATTGTTATGTAGTCTTTTAATCAAAGTTTGATTCTTCTTCTTTAAGGAAGAAATTCTACGGATGTTTGAAGCTGGTTATATCTATTAAATTCTTATGCTTCTCAAAGAGTAGAAAATGGGAGTAAAGAGCATACTGAATAGGGATGACATGAGTATGTTTCTATAAACTCTATCTTGCGTATTTTCCTCAGATACACATTTACTGGAATTTATACCTTTGAATCACTTATTAAAATTCTTGCAAGGGGCTTCTGCTTAGAAGATTTTACATTTCTTCGAGACCCGTGGAACTGGCTAGATTTCACTGTCATTACATTTGCGTAAGTCTTCTGTTTATTTTGGTTTGTTTTTTGTTGTTTTTTTTTAAATCTTTCAGACAGGATGAACTTAGTGACTAAAAATTGCCTGATATTTTGTCAACCAGAACATTTGGAGCCTGGACTTCCTGCAGTTTCAATATGTTTCTTCTACCTCTTTTACACATTTTAGTATTTCTAACTGAGCATGTGCTGCAGAGGCCAACGTGGTGTGTCAGCCCATTAGGATTGTGAATGCCATCAGCCTGAACTGTTCATATCCTGTCTTCTTTCTGCATATCAGAATTAAAGGAATCATTTTGACTTTCTACTAGAAGCTGACAAAATTAGGTTTCAAAAACAAGTCAGTGTGGCTTATTTTGATAAATTAATTTAATTTTACAATCAGAAGGACATTTATAACACAGGCAAAATACAGTGAACGGTGAAAAGGTCTTTATCAAAGACCCAAGCAATAAGGATAAAATCTGCCTCAATTCTGAGTAACTGTGATTTAATCCTACAGGTATGTAACAGAATTTGTAAACCTAGGCAATGTTTCAGCTCTTCGAACTTTCAGAGTATTGAGAGCTTTGAAAACTATTTCTGTAATCCCAGGTAAGACGTAGTTGGTGTGAGGTGTTAGGCCCCTCGTTTCTCCAACTGTTACTTGTGTGCTGTCATTGTGTTTGTGTGTGAACTCCCCTATTACAGATATGTGACAGAGTTTGTGGACCTGGGCAATGTCTCAGCGTTGAGAACATTCAGAGTTCTCCGAGCTTTGAAAACAATATCAGTCATTCCAGGTGAGAGCTAGGTTAAACACTGAGGCTGACTGTTGTTCCACAGAGGCTATACTCACGTTTTTGAAGCATAAGCCTTGTTTGTTACACATTTTTAATAAAATAAAAAAGCAGGAATCAAGACTTCATTTAAATTGATTTTTGCTTTTTTTACTTAGCTGCATTTTCTTTTTAAAAGTCAGCCTTTGAGTTTAACAAACACTTGCATGAGATATTTGCAGTAAACAGCCTATGTGATTTGCATCTTACGACATCAAGCTTTTCTTTATATGTTTTAACTGTAAGTTAATTTTAAGCTTTCATATTGATGCAAATTTTCTCATTTATTGCAGGCACTCGATATACAACTTTAACTGAGTTTCAAATGTCATGTATAAAAAATTAAATTCTAAAGGATAGCATGGGCCTTGCATGGGGAATTATTTTAAAGATGTCTTTCTTCTCCAAACCATCAGCCCTCTCATATCAGAAGTTATCTTTAAAATATGAATTCATTACAACTTTATAACAGGTTTATAAATGCAGAACAATTTTAAATGGTTCATGTAAGAAAGGTTTGGGCAAGAAGCATCAGCAAAAGCAAACTTTCCTATGTAGGGTGGAGGTATAGCATGAATAATAAAATCACTTGTTTTGGCATAAAGAATATGTTTGGGGTAAGATCTACTTTTATTTCTGTACACTCTAAAATAAGCATAAACTTACAGCTTTTCATTCATCTTCACAAGTAATCAATATTTTAACAGATACTGTTGTATCACAAACATTAGACTCATTTAGTTATCATTTTGCATGAAATCTTTATCAGAAAAATTCACATGAGTTTGTATGTGTTTAGTATCTGCTTAGTATCATAATAAAGATCCTTCCTCTTTGCAGGCTTGAAGACTATCGTGGGAGCCCTAATTCAGTCTGTGAAGAAGCTCTCGGATGTTATGATCCTGACTGTGTTTTGTCTGAGTGTATTTGCACTAATAGGGCTGCAGCTGTTCATGGGCAACTTGAGGAATAAATGCCTACAGTGGCCTCCAGACAATTCTACTTTTGAAACAACTGTTATTACCTACTTTAATAGCTCTTTAGGTGAAAATGGTACATTTATTAATACAACAATGACAATATTTAACTGGGATGAATACATAGAAGATAAAAGTAAGAATCCATTATATCAACTACTTCATTGTTTTTTTTTCTGAAAAAATTTTGTGACAGATTTTGTGACAGACAAAAACATATGAATATATTTTCATTTAAAATGGTGTAACCTATCCAAAAGGCATAAAAGCACTCATAGTTTTAGCAGTTCAGATTCATTAAAAAAACACACCTTGCGTATTAAATAAAGCAACCATCATACTGTAGTTTAACATAATATTGTACTGGATACCTATGTATATATATATATATATATATATATAACCTTCTACTGATTATGATATTTGCAGAAAATCCTAAAGCTTGGAAGAATATGAATATTGAATCTGATCCTTGTATCCCTGAAAATTAGGAAGCCTCAGTTTAACACCTAAATGCTTTTGGATTAAAGCATCATAAACTACCTTATAATCTTTTAATATACTTATCATCTCAGCATGCTAGTAGTATCTTAGAAATCCAGGCTTGAAAAAGATTTTGGATGATAACCCATCCTTAAAAATCTCTGGAAAAGATCCTTTCTCCTCCTTTCTTTTCCTCTGCTTTCCTTTCCTCTCTGTTGACATAAATCCAAGTGCTTTCAGACCAGCTTATCAGTTGTAAAGGTCATTCTACATTTTGATCATCTTCTCTCCTAGCTTGATATCTTCAGAATACTTGATGTTATTTTTTTGTATTATTTCATGGCTTGAGTTGTTAATGAAATTTGCTATAAAACAGATTAAGGATCTTTAAAAAAGGATCTTTATTTGCTTCAGAAGGTGTCATGTGTAAGTTGTCTCTGGGGCTATTATCCTGTTAGTAAGTTGGCAAAGGAGAAGAGAGGAATGGTTTTATGTATGCCATATATTTGATAAATTTGTATTGACTATTACTTTATCATTATCTTGTTATTTAAAAATTGATATATATATATACATGTATATATTTTTTCTAAAATACTGCGCTGACAGTTGAGCTGAGCTGATTTAATAGTTTATCTGGATCCTTTGCTTATGAGCTGTGGCACATAGGAATGTGAATTACACGCATAATTTTTAAAATCCATCTCGGTGCCTGTCTGCATTTTTACACTCATGATGAGTGCAAGTAAATCTCTCACAGGGAATAACTATATGAGCACCTAAATACCTGCAAACCTATTGTCTCTTAACTGATGTCAGGGAATAGACTGCAGATGTAGAAGTGATGTGCACATTCTCTCTCTTTAAAATAGGCACATTTTTTGCTATCTCCATCATATACTGGTAGTGTAGAGTAGAAAAAGTCCTTATGAACTGGTTGCAATTCCTTGCTTGTCTCTTTAGTGTTAGCCCTGGGATAGTTCATGCCAGCTAACCTAATCCATGCCAGCTGGCGGTGAATCTCAAGGAACCATCTGCTTTCCGGGGAACAGCCAGAGCATGCCTAATTTTGGCAACTTCAGTTTAATATGTCACCCGACCCAAAATTTCCACTAGAGATTCCCATTTTTTTTTGCCTTATAAATCTCAAACAAGCAATTGATGACAAACTGATTTTTCCTTTTTACATCACAGCAGAAAAGAGAAAGGGTGGGAGAGGGTCGGAAAGCAGAATAGCAGGAGAAGGAGGAGAGAGAGAAAGAAAGGATGTTCCAAGGATTTTTTAGTCTTCCATCTCACTCACTGAATTAATTTTGAACCCTGTTATAATAGTTAGCAGTGTTCTGTTCAGTAATTCTGTTAGTTTAACAGAATGTAGATTTTTCAAGTACAGTCTTCTGTAACAGGATTACATTGATTATTTTTCTTGTACAATGAAAGCTTGATTTCTCCTCCACTGTCTTGATCTCAAGTCAAGATCTAGTTAAAAATTTATTGTGCATGTTGTTATGTGCAGTGCTTTCATGCTGCAAACACTTGCATGATTTTTCAAGTAATATTCAAGTATGTAATTAATAATTATAAGAAGTAACTCTAAGTGATATATATATATAAAATTACATGAACAAAAATCAGGATATTGACTTCATTGTTTTTCTTGCTTTCCTGGTATTTGTTTATTCATTTGCTGACATATACAATTTATTAACCCAATAGCTGTATCTTATTCATTTGTATAGGTTACTGAGAATTACATATACCATATACAACTGCCTTTCTATTCTCTAAAGAAGGACCAACTTTAAGACTCTACAAAACATCATTTTCCTGTCAAATCAGTACTTCTCTTTTTTTTTTTCTTCTTTTTTTTTTTTTCTTTTCTGATCATCATATATCACAATTAAACTGTTAGCTCTGCTTATTTCCTTAAAGTGTAAAAGTTTTAATCATAGCTCAAATTCCTTAGGTCTTTTTCATAATCTTTTTCCTTTTTTAAAAAAAAACAGATCATTTCTACTTCTTGGAAGGACAAAATGATGCTCTGCTGTGTGGCAATAGCTCAGATGCAGGGTAAGAAAATCATTTTTCATATTGTGTGAAGAAAGAAAGCTACTTAGAATTGCTCAGGTGGCTAACTAAAGTATCAGCTGTACCATAGAGTTCCAAATTACCAACATTGTAGGATATGAAACTATACCTAAATGTAACCATCTACGTGATTTGAATTTACCCAGGCAATTTCTTCAGCACCTTAGACTAATTTTGTAAGGTAATCTCATGAATACTGTGTGCATAAAAGTTACTGCCAGCCAGCTGACAATTTACTATTAGCTGTGCTAGATGGCAATCTTCTCTTGTGCTGATGGAGATGTGCTGATAAGAAAAATTGCAGGGAAGGATAGATTACTATTAGCTATATTATTATAGCAATGAAATATTAGTAGGAAATGGAATTAAAAATTGAAAACCACTAGGATTTTTTATCTTAGGTATGTAGAATAAAGTTTTACTTGTTCAAAATTTTGCAGCTAGTACTCCTGATCAATTTTGTGATTTTTACAGTATATCGTAATCTAGAGTAGTTGTTAAAAATAGCATTTCCTCTTCTTTTGTAGTCAATGTCCAGAAGGATATATATGTGTGAAAGCTGGTAGAAACCCCAACTATGGCTACACAAGTTTTGATACATTCAGTTGGGCATTCTTGTCACTGTTTCGATTGATGACTCAGGACTTTTGGGAGAATCTTTACCAGCTGGTGAGGACTTACTAAAATAAACAGCACCATCACCAATACCATTACTACATAGTATTTGCATAGTTCTTTTCATTCACATGTACCTGAGATATTTGGGACACAAATCATCTTTTATTTCATATATGTAAGTTATCTAAAACAATAGGGGCCTTAGATTTCTGTGTGCTTCTCAATACATAATAAGAAATAATTGTTAAGAATTACTGTTTCCTTTTCGCAAATGAGTAAATGAACTTGTTAATGCTTCTTGCCCAAATATGTTGCAGATAGATGCTAGCTAAATTGATTTGCAGTCTAGTAGAAATATGTTGTCTCTGACGTCTTGTCCCTGAAATACATACATCCTTAACCCGAAGGAGTGTCATGTTGTGCAGGATGTCATACTGTATGCTGCATTGTTTTTGTGGCACTGTAGTTTGGGTCTGATAAGACAAGAAGGTAAGATACTGACTAGCAGCCCCATTACTATTAAAGTAGTTTAATGGTTTAAAGGCTATGATAAAAAGTTATAATGGAGGCAGCAACTCCTATAAGAGATTTTCATTAGTAGAAGTTCTGAACTATTTAAATTACTGAATCATAGTCAGCTGTGCCATGGCAGACACAAAACTTGGATTTTTGCACATATAGCTACGATGTAATATTAACTAGTTGTATGTGGAAAAATTAACATAATCTTCTTGTGATAAAACAGAAATTTTACAATGTATTTCTATCTATACAATAGATGCTACCAGATTATGTAACAGTGTGTAAAAGTCTTCTAAAATCTTTATTATCTCTTTTCCCAGACACTACGTGCTGCTGGGAAAACATACATGATATTTTTTGTTTTGGTCATTTTCCTGGGCTCTTTCTACCTGATTAATTTGATCCTGGCTGTGGTTGCCATGGCCTATGAAGAACAAAATCAAGCAACCATGGAAGAAGCAGAACAGAAAGAAGCAGAATTTCAGCAAATGCTGGAACAACTGAAAAAGCAACAGGAAGAAGCTCAGGTATCCTTTTAAAGTAAAACTGCCTTTTCCACTCATGATTGCAATTGGATGTTCACATATGGGAATAGTTTCAGTCACCCACTCCCAAATATTACCACCTATCTTATATATTCTTTCATTTTCCAAAAGATTTTTAAAATTTTAGGTAGCACTTCTTCTGTGGTCTTGAGTAAACTTGAACTCCTGGGCTATAGTGACCATGCTGTAATTGAGTTCCTGCTCTGGAGTGACATGAAACAGGCAAAAAATAAAATTGGAAAGCTAAACTTCAGAAAAGCAAAATTCCAGCTCTTCAGGGCATTAGTCAACAAAACATTTTGGGAAAAACATCATTGTTGTCATGGGCAAGGGGCGAAGCAGAGCTCACAGATCTTCTAGGAGGCTTTCCTCAGGGTACAAGAGCTCTCCATCCACAGGTGGAGCAAGTCAAGAAAGGAAGGCAAGAGACTGGCATGGCTGAACTGGGACCTGCTAGTCAATCTGAAGAGCAAGAAGAAAATGCACAGGCAATGGAAAAAGGGATAAGTACTGTTGGGAAGAATTAAGGAAGCTGTGAGGTTGTGTAAGGATGGTGTGAGGAATGCCAAGGCTCAACTTGGACTGAACTTGGCAAAGGATGCCAGATAGAACAAGAAAGGCTTCTACAGGTACCTCAACCAGAAAAGGAAAGGTCTGGAGGGCATATGCCCCTAGTGAGCAATACAGGCAATCTGGTAACAACAGACAAGGAGAAGGCTGAGGTACTTCACAACTTTTATGCCTTGGTCTTTTCTGATAACTGCTCTCCACGCAGCCCTCAGACATCACCAAGCTGTGGGATGCAGATGACACACAAGAGGGATGGGATGCTATCCTGAGGGGCCTATACAAGCTTGAGCAGTGGGCCCAGGTGTGTCTCATGAGAGTCAACAAATTCAAATGCAAGATCCTGCACCTGGGTTGAGGCAACCCCCAGTACCAGTAGAAGTTTGGGGATGAAAGGACTGAGGGCACTTCTGCTGAAGAAGACCTGGGGGCACTGATGGATGGGAAACCATACATGAGCCAGCAATGTACCCTCTCAACCCAGAAAGCCAACTGTATCCTAGGCTGCATCAAAAGAAGCATAGCCACCAGGGCAAGAGAAGTGATCCTGCTCTTCTACTCCGTGCTGGTGAGACCTCACCTGGAGTACTGTGTCCAAATATGGAGTCCTTAGTACAGGAGAGGTGTTAGCCTGTATGAGCACATCCAGAGAAGAGCTATGAAAATGATCCACAGAATGGAATACCTCTCCTATGAAGACAAGCTGAGAGCTGGGGCTCATTAGCCTGGAGAAGGCACTGAGGTGACCTGATAGAAGCCTTTCAGTATCTAAGGATACTGGAGGAGCTACAGGAAAGAAGGGGACAGACTCTTCAGCTGCGTCTGTGGTGACATGACAAGGGGAAATGGTTTCAAGCTCAAAGAGGGTAGATACAGATTAGATATAAGGAAAAAATCTTTTACAGTGAGGGTGTTGAGGCAATGGAACAGGTTGCCTTGGAGGCTGGATAAGGCCCTGAGTAGCTGATGTAGCTGTGGTGTCCCTGTTCACTGCAGAGAAGTTGGACTAGATGGCCTTCAGAGGTGCCTTCCAACTCTTAAGGATTCTATGATTCTATCATTCTATGATAACTACTGATGAAAAAGAACCATTAAGGTAAAATTTCAAATTGGAGATAGAAATTGTTTCATTTAGTGTGAGAGTGAACAAATGATTTAACAACAAGTTGCCTGGAGATATTGTGGAATCTGCTTACTTGGAGATAACTTGAAAATGAACAAAAGCTGTCTGTACATGGTCCTGGGTAGCCTGTTTCAGGTGACTCTGTGCTGCAGAGTTCGACAAGATGACCTCAAGAAGTCCTTTCCAACCTCAGCTATTCTGTGATTTTGAAAACGGAGACAGGGGAAAATTATAGTTCCTGTATAGTTCCTGATAAACTAGTTTCAGTGAAATGGGATCAGTGCTTTTACTTAAAATTCTTTTTTTTTTTTTTTTTTTTTTTTTTTAGGAATATCAATAAATAGCAATCAAATAGTGAGTATGTGTACTTATATAAATGTTGTAAATTGCATATGTGCTTATTTGTACATACAGGCAGCAGCAGCAGCTGCAGCAGCTGACTCGAGAGATTATAGCGGAGTAGGTGGAATAGGTGGATTCTCTGAAAGTTCTTCTGAGGCATCCAAACTGAGCTCGAAGAGTGCTAAAGAGAGAAGGAATAGAAGAAAGAAAAAAAAGCAAAAAGAACAAGCTGAAGGTGAGAAGGATGAGGAAGAATTTCGGAAATCCGAATCAGAGGACAGCATCAAAAGAAAAGGCTTCCGATTTTCCATTGAGGGGAATAGACTGACATATGAAAAGAGATTCTCTTCCCCACACCAGGTACCATAGTATTATTAAATGTCTAGTCATCATAGAAACAAATGCCTATAGTGTAGTTTGGTCAGTTCTTGCAAGGTGATTCATTTAATCTTAAAAATCTGACCAGGTTAATACACACAATCAAAGATGAAACTGTGTGAATTAGAGAGATTTTCTTGAATTTATCTGTGAAAAATCAAAATAAGATGTATTAATTAGAATGAGTTGTATTTGCTGATTTTGTTAATGAAAATGAGCTCATCAAGATAGCATGAACAGTGGCTTCAAAAAAGGAATTTCATGTTTTCAGTTGGACTTGTGCTACATTTAGGGTGTAAGGGCTTTGGAATTAACATAAACGTTTACCTGAAATATGGCAAGTTAATTGAGACCTTTAATTGTGTAATCTTAAAGGTGGAAATATATGTGGCACTGTGTCCTCGCATTTGTTCTCCTACATTTATACACCAGTGACACAAGAAGAGTACCATCTGCATCTCCCATCCAGATATTTATTTCATTTGATAGCTTTATCATGTCATACTTAATAAACTTTTCAGGAGCTTCTCTTCATTTGCCTGCCTCAGACTGTCTTCTCAGCAACTCAGATCTCATTCTCCCATCCGTTCTGTCCTTTCTCTTCCCCTTTGTGTAACTTATGCCTCAACTCTTCCTTTTATCTCCACCTTCTTGATTCTCCCTGATCTTTATGAATTGCTATCCTTTTTAGCCACTATTACTAAATTCCTTCCTTCATTTTTTATCCTCTTCTATTCCTATCTCTGGAAAGCCTATTTCATCTCTTTAAAAAGTCACACGCATTCATGTCCTTTGCATGTATCATTTTCTCCAGCTCCCACTCTCAGAGAAGCTCAAACCTCTTCATCTGTTATACTCTTATTAAGGACTTTCCTCTTTTGATCAGACTGTGGTGGGAGTGTAATGTTTCTAGACTGTCATTTCTACCAAGTTAACTGTCCTTCCTCTTCCTTCCTAACATACTTTTTTCATAGCACTGCCTCCACTTTTTTTTTTCTTGGTCTGCCACTGTTTTATGCTGTTAATTGTCTGACTAACCACTGTCAAGATTTCATTGCTGAATTTAATTCATGATTCATTCTGTTCCATATACAAAATTTCACATTTATATCTATTGATTTCTACTTCATGTTGGAGTCTCATCTGATCCCTTAGGTGCATATTCTTACTCATGCCTTCATTCAAACTGCAGCCTTATTCAGCTGCAATTCAGTTCATCCATCTGTTGAGAAATGGAGCATACCTCATCCAATTTCCTTCTCTTGCTTTTTTCATTTCAAAATTCATATACAGCTATGTAGTATGATAGTCTAGTGATCCCCTCCTCTCTGGTTTTCCAATCCTAGCTCCTTTCCACTCTGAGTTTTAGCTACCACGCTCAACAGAAATTCAACTCACTACAGTTTTTAATAACCTTTTCCTAGACAAAATGCAGGTTTATATTGTATCTTTAACATCTTCCTTGACATTTCACTTTCCTTCAGTGTGACTGACTATTATGTTTTCTTGAAAACTTAGTCTTCCTAACATAGTTTCGTCCCCTCTCAGTTCTGGTTTAGTTGTGCTTTAGAAGATCTTTTTACCGCTTTGACAGTTTCCTAAGGGATTTCCACAAGGCCCTGTTGCAAGTTCCTTCTTTTTCTCTGTCTCCTTTTTTCCCCAATTCTACTCTAGACCACAACTGCAAACTATTTTTAACTTAGACTTATTTCCATGTCTCTATTAATGCTGCAAGAATATTGTTGCAAAGAGCACAAAGGTATCTCATTGTTATTACCTAATCTTCCAGTTAACATATCGACCTATAGACGTTTTCAATACTGTAAAACATACTGTGCTTAAAGCTCTTCCCAACCTACTTTGACTTTCAGTAAGCAAATCAAGTCCCAACTTTAACTGACCCATGACAGCATCCATACCCTCCTGTTAATTTTTCAAGTGAGTTTCTTTGAACTCTTTCTGGTATGCTGCCCCTCATGCTTGGAAGACGTTCCTGTGAGTTTCCACAGAACACTTCATTACTTTCCTCAAATTCCTCTTTAAAACTCTCTTTTACCATGCTGCCTACAGAAAGCTTGACAGGGAAGTGACTTCAGGTGAGCTAAGACCACTGTTTATCATACTCATCAATTTTGCCTACTCATATTCCCTCTCTTCGTATCCATCTGTTGTGTTATACTTAGATAGCAGAGTGCCTTTTTGTTCTGCATTTTGCAATGCCTGGAATAATGGGCTTGAATCCATAAAAATAAGTTGCGAAAAAGAAACAAAGACATTGCTTTGTTATGTACCAGCTCTGCTGTTCATAGAGGGTGAAGTCAGATGATAAAATCAAATCTTTCAAGTCAGGAGAATCACTGACGTGAATTAAAGTTAAGCACATAACATAATTGCAAGATTAGAACTTTATTATGACTGATCCTGAGAAGATCTACCCGTAGCAGAACATATACTCACAGGAGTAAAATGATGAAGACTAGTGAGGATATTCATGCAAAATTACATGTACACCTTTGCATATTCAGGATAGCTAACACTTTCAAAAAGAAATGAAAACCATATAGTGAACTACTTGACGAGTGCTTGCAAAAATATGTACGTTGTTGTAAACTGGGCAGTATTTGGGAGCTATGTCTGTGTGCAGACTGACTCAATGGAAATTCAAAGAAAATTTTATTCAACCTGTCAGACTTGTCCCAGCTAGGGATAAATAGTAGCTAGATGTGCTTATACAATTTATGAACAGTTGATAATAAAACAGGCAGAATGGCAGAGGAAGCAATTCTGTTGAGCAGTTTCTTTTAATCAAATTAAACCAGTCAGTATCATATAAATAATGTAGTAAAATAACGGTCTATGTCTGTCACTTATGTGCTCTTTGTTTAATACCCAAAAGGAAGTGTGTTAAGGGGGTGTTGTACTAGTTCATTTCTTTGTAGATTATCTTACCCTTTAAGACATATTAGCACTGTGTTTTTCCCTGTAAGAAGTCATTACGTCTAAAAGAATTTTCATCTGATAATTGCTGTTTTTATTTGCCTACAGTCTTTGCTGAGCATTCGTGGCTCCTTGTTTTCCCCAAGGCGCAACAGCAGAACAAGTCTTTTCAGCTTCAGAGGTCGAGCAAAGGATGTAGGATCTGAAAATGACTTTGCTGATGATGAGCACAGCACTTTTGAAGACAATGAGAGCAGAAGAGATTCTCTCTTTGTTCCTCATAGACATGGTGAACGGCGCAACAGTAACATTAGTCAGGCCAGTAGGTCATCCAGGACGGTACCTCCTCTTCCAGTGAACGGGAAGATGCACAGCACTGTGGATTGTAATGGAGTAGTTTCTTTAGTCGGTGGGCCTCCAGCTCTGACGTCACCTGCTGGACAGCTTTTGCCAGAGGTGATGATTGATAAAGCAACCACTGCTAGCAATGTAAGAAAGTCTGCAATAGCTCAGGCATGGTGTCCTCTCCCTGTATAATCAACTACTGTTTCTACAAAGCCTAGTAACTTGGAAATAATTCCCACTTTGTCCATGCTCCTTTCATATATTCCAGTTCAAAGTTGAAGCAGAAACTGAAGCTGTCTAGCTCTCATTAATTAGATATGTGTAAATGTATATTAGGTCACTGGGAATTAACAAGATAGCAGTAAGCCATTAAATAACTTGGTTCACTATGGTAACTGAAGAAGTTCTGTATTTGTATATCAACCAATATATCAAAATGAAAAAATAATTATAAAGAAATTACTTAATGGAATATATTAAATGAGTATTTAATCTCCTGCTGACCGTACATTATATTTTTGATATAATACTGTATGATAAGACAACTTACATGAGCTAGAATTCCTATCAAACAGTTAATTTTTTTAGTGATTATTTTGTGTTGACAACATTAATGAATATTTTTCTCTTATTTTGTTTGAAAATACGCATTAGAAAATAACATGAGTTATCCTAAAAAAATACACTTATTCTTTGTGCTTTTATAGCTATCTGTGTGGACTACTTTATTGCCTAATAAGAAAGGTATTTATGGTTGAGCTCATTGACAAGCATTATGAAACTTTTTGTAGTTCACAGACTTCTTGAATCTCTTCTAATGTTTCATTCCCAATTCAGCAAAATACTTACAAACACCTTTGCAAAAGAGCAGTCCTACTCACATATCTATTTAGTGAGTTAGGTACACATCATTCTCTTGCAAAATCATAACATAAATGGAGCATCAGGCAGATCACCAGAATGTTTAAAACCATTATATCTTTATAATGATTTACAGTGTTATTCTTATGAAGTGAACATTTGGTAGTCTATTTTATCAGTGTTTTATTTTCAGGGCACTACTACAGAAACTGACTTAAGGAAAAGAAGGTCTAGTTCTTACCATGTTCCTATGGACTACCTAACAGATCCTAGTGCAAGGCAGCGAGCAATGAGTATAGCCAGCATGCTCACAAACACAATGGAAGGTATGTGAAATAGAATTTTTGTAATGCAAGTGCTAGTGAATTCAAAATACACTAATTAGTACTGTTTTTTTTTAATGGAGCTTCAGTGGGCCTAATGTTACAGACAAGGTGAGATTTGTGCCTGGAGACTGTCTTTTTTTTTTTTTTTTTTTTTTTCCTGTATGACTGATATATTTGGAAAAGCAATCCTAAATTTAGGTTCTTTTTAAGTGTTTATGCTTTAGAAGCAAAATTTGAAATATTTTATTCTATATAACTGGATTCCTAAGACATATGTCTACTTTACATCGTATGCGAAGCATTTGATTGTGAATGGTCATTCTATATAGTGAATATTTAGTATTCTTTCTTTCTCTGTGTAAAATATAGTGGGACAGATTATTGTAATTGATAAATGCTGGGTTTTTTTGAATGGACATTAGCCTTGACTGTTACATCAATACAGTGTTTCAAAAATAACTTGGAAATAGCAGAGGCCAAATGGAAATACCCAAGTTTTACTAATAGAATAGACAAATTTTATGAGAAATATATTAAAATGTTATTTACCTTTTTCTCTCTAGAACTTGAGGAATCAAGACAGAAATGCCCACCATGCTGGTATAAATTTGCTAACACTTGCTTGATTTGGGACTGCTGCACTCCCTGGCTGAAAGTCAAACATATTGTAAATTTGATTGTGATGGACCCCTTTGTTGATCTGGCCATTACTATCTGCATTGTTCTAAACACACTGTTTATGGCCATGGAGCACTATCCAATGACAGAACAGTTTAGTGGTGTCCTTTCAGTGGGAAACCTTGTAAGTCTTCTGTGATGTACCATGTATGTCAAATACATTTTTCTTAAATGATACTCGTGTTACCTATGTACATATGTTTAAAAGAAAATGCTGACTAAATATTTAAAAGGCTTGGAATGGTTGAATTTATATTTAAGCTATGCTGAATGCCTTTCTGTTGACATTTGTGTATTTTTCCATTCGTGTTGTGTGGAGATTAATTCTCCTTTGCAGAAGATTTATTAAGTCAAAATGCATTTTCATTTTTAAATCCTTCAAGTTCCCTCATGGAAGATAGTTATAGAAATTAATCTAATGTTTTCTCTTGAATGAATACTTATAAATGGAAGGAACCTTCCCACACCTGTTATGCACCTTATTTGTTCCTCCTGGTGTCCTAGATGTTCAAGGGGATGTAGAGAGGAAAGATCCAGTGAGCACAGAATATTTATTGTGACATAACAGGAGATGGTGAAAATGTGTGACAGTGCTATTTGCAGGCTATCCTGAAGAAGAATAGTTCTGCTCAATGTTGCTTTTTTCTTAACTTTTTTTTTCCTTCTTATAAGCTTATTTTTATCCCTAGAAGAAAAAAGCTGTCCTAAGAGCAAAGATGAGATCTGAGGAGGAAATTGGAGTACTAAAATCAGAAGTGATACAATATATCACTATTTATGTGTGCATATTAGCACACACATGGATAGGAAGCATCCTATTTATCTCTTCCTTGTGAGATAAGCAGGAACTGCATATGTGAGCTTAAATTTGAATTTAATTCCTAACCTAATGTATGAAAATATAGAGAAGGTATTCAGATCCACCATGGATTGCTTACTGAGGATATAACTTTTAAAAAAGTTGATGCTGTTACATTTAAAAATAATAATAATAATTTCTTATTAAAATGGAGTAAGAAACTGTATTTTCCTTGCAGGTGTTTACTGGAATTTTCACAGCAGAAATGTTTCTCAAGATAATTGCCATGGATCCTTACTATTATTTCCAAGAGGGCTGGAATATTTTTGATGGTTTTATTGTGAGTCTTAGTTTAATGGAACTTGGCCTTGCAAATGTAGAAGGATTATCTGTCCTTCGATCATTCCGATTGGTAAATATTCTAATTAATATCTATTTCTATGTTATATTTTTATATTTATGCAGTTATGTCTTTCATTTTTCAGCAGTATATTGTATATTTGGCTGAATCAGAAGTTCCCTGTATAAGAACTTATTAAATACTAAATTGCATACCCACTAGATGGCAAGTATAATGTCTGTTTCTTCTTTAAGACATTGTAAAAATCAATTCTGTTTGCAGTGAGCGTGCTTTAAGAATTACCTTTTTAAATAGTCTTTTAGAGTCTTTTTTAAAATATAGATGAGGGAATAAAGAATGCAAGAGGCACAGACCCTCAGTACGTGTGACTGAAGATAAGTAAAACACTTACTAAATAACTGATTAATTAATAAAAGTTTATTGACAGTTTTAGCTGATAAACTTCCATTAACAGTTTGCTTGCATGGTTAGAAGAAAGTAGTGTTAAGATTTTTCTTGGATAGGGACTTTTCATCAGTAGTAACCTTTCTTCCCTCTTCTTTATCATCTTCTCCCCAGGTATCTCTACTGTGTAACACATTTTCTGTTCCAAAGCCTCTATCTTTCTCCATTATCTCTGTCAGTTATTAAATAGCTCTGTCATGAATGGGAACTTGAAAAGTCTTGGTCTTGCTGAAGGCTAGGCTAGCAGACAATTTAATGTTCAAATGCTCTTTTAAAAAGACATGCACAGTAAGAGAAATGAAACTAAAGTTCCTAGTCATCACCTCCTGCCTTACATAAAGCAAGCCTGAAAATTTTTAAGTAAATTCCCTTTAAAAAGCATGAGGCTTAAATTCATCCCCTTTCTGGTTATCTGTAATCATTATGTTGTATTTTCCTAGAATTCAGTATCTATATTGATTGACTTCTCACTCAGTAATGGAGTTCTGTATTTTGCTTTGAATCTATGTGTATTACTTATGTCTTATTCTATTAAATAGGATTTACATTTAGATTCCTTTGATTGTCTGAATATATGCTATTTCTTTCCAATTGCATTCCTTTTTTTTTCTGTTTCAAGTTGCACTTTGATATAACATTTAGTTTTGTCCACTTTTTTTCAATGTTGTTTGACAAACTTTGACACGTGGTGTTTATTTTCCATGACAGAAAAGTTGTGAGAGACTCTTGCAAGGAACTTCTGAGCCTGTCATTAACAACTCTAGCTTGTTTATCTTTCTAGAAAAACCACTTCTTCCAGCTCTCTGACAATTAAGAAGAAAGATATCTGGGAATGCCTAAGCAGTTATAATCTTGTAGAACTGATCACAACTCACGTGCATTGATTTATTTTTAGTAATATTTCCACAGAATTAACAGAAGTGAAATGAGCATAGAGACAGTATTTTTGGTTTCTCATGAGTTGAATCAGGACTTACCAGTGTTTAGTACTATACAAAGAACTGGTAAGATAAATTTTGTAACTAAAGTTTATAGAAATAGCATGAGACATGCTCTAAACACATCATAATTAGAATATGAGATGTATAGCAATGATTAATTACAGTTAATGATGTGAATAATTGTATACTGCTCTTCTGTTTTGCAGCTTCGAGTTTTCAAGTTGGCAAAATCTTGGCCAACTCTAAATATGCTGATTAAGATTATTGGCAACTCAGTGGGAGCTTTGGGCAATTTGACCCTGGTGCTGGCCATCATTGTGTTCATTTTTGCTGTGGTTGGGATGCAGCTTTTTGGGAAAAGCTACAAGGAATGTGTCTGCAAGATCTCTAGCGACTGCGAACTTCCACGCTGGCACATGCATGACTTTTTCCACTCTTTCTTGATTGTATTCCGAGTGCTGTGTGGAGAATGGATAGAAACGATGTGGGACTGCATGGAGGTTGCAGGCCAAACTATGTGCCTTACTGTCTTCATGATGGTCATGGTGATTGGAAACTTAGTGGTATGTAATCAGTGGAAATTTTTAAAACATGTAAGAATGTATTTCCTGCTTTTCGCAGTTTAGAAATCAGAAATGAAGACTCTAAGAAATCAAGTGATTCATTTGCCCTTTCTGAAAGCCAGGTTCAAGTATACCTTGATAAGCTATGAAAAGTGGGTATTTTTTTTTTTTTTTTTACTTCTTTTAAATCTTTAGTGATTTTGTAACCTCTTCAGTAAGATCATAGCTGAATTATTTTAATATTTCCATTAAAAGGCCTTTAAAAAAATCCAAGTTAGACCATTGTTGCAGCCAGTTAAACTGCCTAGTCTCAAACAGTTATGAGAAATAGTTGGTCATGATAATATTTATATTGCTGGACGGCTTCTTCCAATTTCAGTCTTGTTTCTGAATCAAAATAACGTGGCTGTTCAATTTTTTCTCATAAGTAGTTTAGAAGTCATCAATTATTTCTTTCACTGCTGGCCTTTTAATTACTCCCAAATAGCATTCTAGAGACACAAGTATTAAATAGTATGGAATAGTTCCACTCCGTGTCTTACACACAACATTCCTCATTATATATCCCCAAATGACATTTCAGCACTGGTATTGCTTTCCTGATGCACTCTATATGTCTATTTCTGCAGCACTTCTGCCTTGCTAGCTTTTAACCCTTCTGTATATACTTATGTTTTATTTTTCCTACCCAACATTTCCTACCAACATTTCCAATATTTAATGTATGTCATTAAATGACATACTGGTTTTGAGTAAAAAGCAGCTTGCCCTAGTTATTCCTAATTGTAGTATTTTCTTATTGAGTAGTACCATCACTTCTCTCTTTGATACCATGCAAAAAAATTTATAAATATGTATTAAATTTTATAAATATGCTTTTTCACAGAGATACCAAAATACCGAGTTTAATCAGACTAATTTGAGACTCCTATGTCATACCTTCTAAACATACAGCAAAACTGAACAGAAATAATTGATAAATATTTGTAACTATCGTTTTTAGTGTAGTTTTCACTTATTCTAACATAATTACATATAGCCCAAATTCGTCTGCTGTGTTTGTATTGTGTAATGACAGTATGAAAAAGCTTCCTAAGACCAAGGTATATCTAAGGATTCTTTACCTTGTAGGCAGTTTTCTGGCACAAAACAAAAATGATATGGTACAAGTATTCAGGACAAATGTATATTTTGTTGTATCCTGAATTTAGGAAACTGAAATTATGGTCTTCTGAACTGTAGAAGACTGGAGTCTGCCTACATTCCCCTTGTCTGTGAACACTGCTGAAGAAATAACTTGCATCTCTTGCATACTACATCATGTTATATCCTTTTTCCTTATGGCGTTTTAGAGAGCATACATGCAAGTCTTCCAGTGTGGAGTAGAAAGGAGAAATTCGAGGGTTAAATTTTCACCTATATTGATCAAGATATGTAATTTAAAAATATTTTCAGCAAGTTATAAAAAAATACCAGAGATAAGAGTAGCAAGAATGTGGATTGGATAAAGTGCTTGTTGTGATATATAAATTGTCATATCAAATAACGCTTAGTCAAATTATTTTATGACTTAAAAATAAGAGATTCAAAATATTATATCCTTACTGTCTTTCAGGTACTCAACCTGTTTCTGGCCTTGCTCCTGAGCTCCTTTAGTTCAGACAACCTTGCAGCTACAGATGATGATAATGAGATGAACAATCTCCAGATTGCTGTGGCAAGGATTCAGAAGGGAATAGATTTTGTGAAGAGAAAAGTGCGTGAATTCATCCAAAAAGCCTTTGTTAGAAAGCAGAAAGTTTTAGATGAAATCAAACCTCTTGAAGACCTAAACAACAAAAAAGACAGCTGTATTTCCAACCACACGATAGTAGAAATAGGAAAAAACCTTGCCTACCTTAAAGAAGGGAATGGAACTACCAGTGGCATAGGCAGCAGTGTGGAAAAATATGTTGTTGATGAAAGTGATTACATGTCCTTCATAAACAACCCAAGTCTCACTGTGACAGTACCAATTGCTGTTGGGGAATCTGATTTTGAAAATTTAAATACAGAGGAGTTTAGCAGCGAGTCAGACCTGGAAGAAAGCAAAGAGGTAAGACTACTTCTATCTTAAAAATTCTCTGATTCATGTTAGTTTCCTAAAATTACTAGTGTTGAATAAAAATCTATACTTAATTACTGTACATAAGAGTATGAACACTTGTAAATGTATTTGAGATAAACTGATGTTAAGACTGCAAATTTTGAATGATAGTGCAGTATTGTACTTAGCTTAAAAATCAAGCTAAGATATATATATTTTCAATAATATTTTCTTTTTCCCCCTATTTTATTGTATTTATTCACTAAGAAGAACAAGGACCAATTTAATAGCCTTGGATAACGGAAGTCTTACAAAATGTTGGAAAGAGTTGTGCAAGTTTCTCCATATTTACTTAATCAGTATAGTTATTTGCTTCTTCCTGCTTTCTGGAGAGCTTCCTATCAAATTAATAGTTTATTCTGATGCTTTTAACCTTTTTGATACAATTAAAAAAAAAAAAACACAACCGTTTGGATACATCATATTGCTGCTCTGGACTGACATCATTAGATATGTATCACTAATAACCATCTGACAGTAGCTGAGCTGCTGAAGAAGTGATGTTCTTGCATTGAAAAGTTATAAAGCTTTATTTCTCAGTACAGTATCCTTTCATATATCCACTCACTCTCATTTTTTAAACTTTAACATGTTTGCATCTGTTACCTACTGTGAAAATAATAAAAGGCACCTGTGGCACAACATGGTGCCCAATGGATGACTCCAAGCTAACATTTAGTGAGTAGCAGAGGATGTCAAAGCTTTCATTACTGTTTTAACCCAGTGCTCTGTGCAGTTGTGTATGGTGGAGGCACACCACGTCAACTGTAATTAGTTTGTGCTATGCTCAGTACTAATGCTAGTTCATTCAGGATTAGCATGGGCATTTTTGAACAGTACTGCATGCTGTGATATAGACACAAACAAACAGAAAGATGTTCATAACGGATTTCTTCACATTTGAATGCAAGGATATGAATATGGATAAGATTCTATTAGTTCTTACTCCAAGATTCTTGCACTGTCTGCATCACACATTTAGTCATATTTTTTTGTCTCTCTTCAGACTATTCTTTATTGTTCTTTGAAAAATATTTTTTTACAGATTGTCTGCATTACTGTCTATCTTACTTTTCATAACCATGCATTGCATGTACAACAGAACAGTTCTTTTAGTTTGGCCTTTAGTTATTTTGTGTAATAAAGAGGTTGATTATGGAAAAAGTTCTTGGTCTTCAGTCTAGTATCAAAGATTCCATTCTATCCTGTTTAGGATGAAAAACAGAATCTTTTTCAGGCACCTTATGAGAAATAGGGCTAGCATATTGTTCTGTCATTCCTTTCTCCATTGTTAGCATTTCAAACTTTACTGCTGACTAAGGAACAGCAAATTCCACTTCCAATGTAATTAAATTCTGCCTGACAGTGAGATTTCCTATTATGTTTGCATGTCATAATAATGGCACAGGTTATTTTTCTCTCTTGTAAATCATGTAGTTTCTTGGCACAGGCCTTTACCTTCTGGGTTTTTTTTTTTTTTTTTTTTTTTTGTCTTTCTTATCATCTTCAAGTAGATCTATGATTTTCAGTCTTTTCATTGCTTAACAACTAGTGATATCCAGAGGATGTACTGAAAGTTTGGGAATAAAGGGCCGTAAGTTAAATTTCAGTACTAGGAAATGTAATACTTTGGATTTCTTCATCACAAGAAGAAATATTTATTGCTACCTTAGTGGAGTAACAAATATTAGACTGTATTCTGCAGTGGTTTGTAAAGTTAGCGTAGTATTTCAATCCATTTCAACAGTGATGGTAGACTAAGACATTATTGATAGAATATTCTAAATATTGCAGTTAGAAAGTATGAAGAAGATATTGTTAGTTTATTTTGCAGATATGTTGTAACTGACAGTGACGCTTCAGATGATATTATTGCATGATGGCACTGAAAGAAAATTTTCTGACAGGTGTAGTATTGAGATGTTAACTGCTAAGTCCTGATAGGATCAGAAGCTTGCACTCAGGAAAACATTAGTCTAAACTCCCCTCTCCTCACTTCTGTGCTCTCCCGCCCACATCCTCGTATTAGTAAACCATTATTTAAGGTGTGCTGTAATGCTTTCCCTGCACTTGTTCTTTTTAAGGTTCTGAAGCTGTGTACATAGTAGCTGAAATATTATCAAAATGAATTATAGCTCTGATAATTTTTAATTGACTACTTCTCTGTGAAAAGTAATTTGGAAATGTAGTTGAATTGCACTAATTAAATACTCTCTGTCATTCCAATAACAGGAAGAAGTACTTTAAACATTTTCATTAGTGATTATTAAATTATTTTTATGAAATCTGAAATCTACTTTTGAAAATGTAGGGAAGTATTCTCCATGTTGAATCTGCAACTATTGCACAGAAAATGATCTGTGATTCACTGAGCAAGAAGGAACATGACTTATGGCAGTGCCAGTAAACACTGACATCTGTTTTGAGAAATAAATCTTTCTCTGCTACAAATTCTGTTTTTAAAATTTTAACATCAAATAGTAGATAAAATACTGCAGTTTTTTATCTCAATTCTAATTCCTACTCTTCACTAGATGATTCTTATCAGCTATGTTTTTTGGTGATGAGAAGAATAGAGACGTATTAATTACACAACTAAAGCTCTGGTCATGACATTAGTAAAAGATGACTCTTTTTTTTAAATGAAAAAGTGATAGCAAATGACTTTTTGGTCAAGACCTCATGTTTTTTGTCATGCCATGATGTGCCTTCATGTGCCCTAACGTGCCCTCTCATGTGATCCCATTTATGTGAATCTGCTGTTGCTGACTGTTGATCTGCAGACACCTTATTGCTTACATATGCAAATTAGAGGTGCTCAAGATAGAAATTGGCACCAAACCGCCTTCAGTTAGCAGAATACCTAACTAAAGGCTGCAAGGTCATCTGGCCAGATCCTGATGAGAGAGAGTGTCTGTTTGCTTTTATGCGTGTCTGTATATAAACATGCATACATGTATTCCTTGTGATGTAGGGCAATAAGATGAATTTCTACAGAATAATTATAATTTATTAGCAAGTTTTAATTAAGCGTGTTAACGTTTGGTGAATCATTGTCATAACATACATCTTTTCTAATATTTTGATGAAAATAAAAACTTGCTTATACCCTTCTAGAAACAATACATACAATATTGTATATGCCAGTAGGTATGAATTTACGTTATGAAAAGCTGACCAGAATTTTCTAGAAGATTGCATTTGAAACCTAAAAAGAAATAATTATGAAAACATTGTGTCCATAGGAACTTTACTGGTTGAATACATTGCAATAATGAACACACCCTAAATAAACCATTATCATAAAAGTAGGCTCATTAGCATATATGGGGCATTATGCTGAGACTGTTATCCTGCTCATGAAACTATGTAGACTTGAGACGCCCTGCTGCTTTCCAGCATAAAAGCTATAAATATATTTTTTCATTTTTAGCTTTTTAAGTACTATGGGGATGGTATATGTAGAAAATTTTGAAGTGCATGTATTTTGTGTAATAGTTAGATTTTTATTCTTAGTATAACTTTCAGGCTCACAATTATGGTGTGCAGAATTACAAGGTATTTTTAAATGCCTTAAAGAATGTGATATCTCCTAGTTCTGTTGCAGACATCACAATAGTGTATATTTTACTTTAGGCAGCATTCAGTAATCTAAAAGATACTTAGTGTCTTGTATTCTCACATATATTCATATTATTCTGAACTACTGAAAAGTAAATGTATTGGATCTTTACTCAGCCAATATAATTGTATAAGAATTTCCAGCGCAAAAAAACCCGCAGAGGTGCTGTGTCCTGAACTTCATTTCCTACCATTCTTACTTCTCACAGGAGTAGAACCAAGCTGGATCAGTCAAGAGTGCAGCTCTGGTACTTTTAGTCGAGGCAGAGCATCGTGTCACCAATTTTACACAGGTTACCTAAGCAAATTATACATATATATGTTATATAATCACTTTTTAATGGATATTGACTGGCCTGCATGTTTTTCAGCTAACCTGTCCCATTCATTGCAATAAAGTACAAACATGCACAGCTGCTCTCTGCTGAGCCACAGGACTTGCATCACAGCATGGTCAGGCGAGACTGGCAGCCCCAACATTTCTACGGTTTAGATGCCATACTTTTCATTATATTCTGACTGTATTTGGCAGTGCATGCTATGTACCTTTGCCAATCTTGTTGGTAAAATTTTCAGGATTCTAGTTTTGAAGGGTTTTCTTTCCTTTCATAGGAAGACAGGGTATATAATTCACCAACTTTCTCTTAAGAATCTTAATAAGACCATTTGTAAATTGTGTTGATAATGAAGAGCTGTTAATTGATTTGGAAAACTTTCATAATATTGTATTCTAGATTGTAACGTTGGTAACTTGCAAGCTCATGATAGCCGTCATTATTTTTTTACAAGTTTCCTTAGAAATGCTTTTTTTCAGTAGTCATGTAAGCATTTATTTAGTTTGGAGGTTAATATACACTACTTGAAGCACCATTAAGCATGAAATCATTTAATTTCCACAGTCAAAGCATGTGACCATCATTTGTTTAAAAAAAAAAAAAAAAAAAGCTTATACTAAATGGGTGTTTGGCTGGTCAAACATTCAGAGGTCAGTTCTGCTCTTACTTACACCCACACTTACAAGTGTAGAGGTGCAAAGAGAAAACTGATGACAAAAATCTGACCCAATTCAGTCTTTCCATAGCTCTTTAATTTATGCTTACAAAAGACTACCTCCCCAGACATCTAAAATTGTCTGCCCCGAGAAACTTAAGGTTATTCTTACCTTACGGGTAACAAATACAGCAGTCCAGTGAGTGAGTTGCAGTGTTCGGACCAAAAGGTCTTCAGTTTCAGTATGATTTGTATCTCACATATTAAATGTGATCCTAACATTTATAACACCGTGGTGCAATATAATGTTGCTTTCAGTTTGGTAAAAAAGTAGAGTTAAAATGCACTTATTAAATAGCTTTTTATCTTCTCTTTTGTAATGATAATTTACATGATTAATCATACTTTGATTTACAAATACTCATTATTCAAAATTCTTTCCTACTCTGAAAAATTAAGTCTTTGGTTTGTTTATGAACTGATCACATCCCACTGTCATATTATGTGTCATAGGGAATGATATTAAATTGTGAGATATTGTTTCACCTTGTAGTTAGCTTAATTAATCTTTATAGACAGCAGTTCCATGCTGTTTCAGAAATATCCTTCCACTATTTGTGGAACAACAGGTCTGCTTTTGCAAATATTTGCACTGTTACTTATGATACTTTTGCCTTCACTGAACACCCTTGCAAATATCTTCATTTATCAGTGCTCATGAATGAGTAGGATAAAGTAAATATGAATATCACTACAATTCAGAGAGGACCTGTAATTTAAGGATCATGCTTTTCTGCAGTATTTGCAAAATCAGCACATAATCATTAAGCCTTGATTCACAACGTTCTGGGTTTTCTTGAACTGATGGAGTTATTATGCCTTACTGTATAAGCATTAGAAACAGTGACATCCAAATTCTACTTAGCTATACCAGTGGAACTACAATGATATTTAGCCACCTGGCCATTTTTGTAGGTTATGTAGCTGTACGGGAAACAGACTGTGTACGTTTGAACATCATATTACTATACAAGACAGAGATCATCTCATCTTTATAGTGACATACAAATAGTACAAATAGCAATAAAAACATGTATTTCCCATTATTTAACATTTTCAGAGGTTTGGGAGGAATGGAAATTAATGCAAAGCAAAAATAGAGGTTTCCCTTAATGCCATCTTACTGCTTCTGTCTATTCTGCTCTTTGCTCCTTCTGTCACTTAAATTTTAATTTTAACAGCTATTAGTTGCATTCTGGCCAATCATGAAATTTCAGGCTTCATTAAAAGAGTTTATCTAAGAGCTGTTTAACTTCTCTGTGATAATTATCATGGAAATAAAGAAAGAGATATTAGAAGCTCAAAGTGGCCTGGCTGTAAGTGAAGCAGAATTGTATGATGCTATGGGATGTTGTGAAGGTTCAGAAAGTAATTTATTTCAAAAACTTCCTGACCTAAACTTGGCTGCTGCTTTTTGCAATGCTTCTCTGTTAGGCAAGCTGCTTTCCACTTTTAGTTTCTATCTTGAAAGCTAAACTAAAAACTCTCTCTCATCCTGTACTGTATTGCTGATGAAAGCATGACTGGCAATGCTATTGGTAAGCGTGACATAAAAGATATGTGTAGCTATGATAATCAGTATATCGCTGCTTTTGAACCATGTGTTACTGTCTTCTGTGAAGACACAAAGTAGATTCTGAGTTTTTGAAAAGTAGATTCCTCTGAGAATAATTTCCTTATCATGCTCTCCAGAAAACCTTTTTTTTTTTTTTTTTTTTTTTTTAATAATCTAGCATCATAGTACTCGAAGAGTGTCTAATAGTTGATAAATATCCTATATTCTGAGTGACTAAATACTTTTGAAATCTAGAGGCATGGTATCAAAAAAGGCTCAGAAAGGACTTGCTAGCATTATCAAAGGTAAACTTTGGTATTGATGATTATCTTGTTCTTACAGGTTCATTCTTTTGAAAAGCTGTATACATATGTGGTGTATAGCATTGCCAAAATCCAGTCTTTGTAATGCTGCTGAGCAAAGAAAAGAGTTTACTGGGTGCAAAGGTAACTTTGAGATATGTTCTGGTGAAGAGCTGGGGCATATGCTAAATACCCAACATTTCAGGGTCTGCCACTGAGGACAGCTGATTTTTTTTTTATTGTGTGGACACTGAAATTCCAGTTCAGTGAAATAAAAAGTCTTTTTATGTGCTAAAGCATATGGACAAGACATAATCAACAATAACATGACTTATTCCCAGGTGAGTCTTTATTAAATACATAGAAATCAGTGCAGTGTCCCTTGGTAAGTTGCTCTATAACAGAAGAGAAATTGGCTGTGGAAATATATGATTATTACTGACAACTCTTTTAGGCACACTGACCTCAATTGATTTGGTGAGATCTTAAGATATAATATCATAGAACCTTCAGAGCTGTTTATAATGCATACATTTTTTTATAATTATACAAAATGCTGCATAATGAATTTAGTTTTAAAACAAAAACAAAAAAATAACCATTTATGTTGAAAAAAATAACTGTTTTTCTTCCCTACGTGATACTTAATTATTACTGAATTTATTGAATAATATTTGTAGTCTACTCATTCATCTATTGATCTGTGTGGATTTAAATTCAGGTGTACAAGAACAGCGTGCTAAAGAAATATTGTTACAGCAACAATGGAAGATTTAACAGAATTGTTGGTGGGAAAAGGCATTTTATTGTTGTGTTTCAAATATCAGCTGCTGATTTAATTTAGCATTTTTCTGTTTAGCTTAATTTCTGTGATTATTATTGCAGCTCTTTACAAGAAGCATACCAGATTTTCAATGAGAAGAGGCTTGTAAGATAAAATTCACCATAGATACTGCCCCACAGAAATAAAGATGGCTTTCTGATGTACCTGATAATTGACTGTTCTACTGTCTCATTTTCTAGCTTTTCTTCCTGATCATTTTGATCCCTCCTAATTTTTCATATTGAGTTATGTATTAGTCTTGAGCGTTTTCAATAATAGGAATTCATTATTCCTACTTAAAATTAACATGTTGATTAAGCTTACTGCGTAATATCTGAGTTACTAAATTCTTCCTTTTTCCTGTAAAAGAATGGACAGGACAGTAGGTCCTTCAAATTTATATTTTAAACAGATCATGATTTTTGTTTGCTCTGCTACTACTGCAGCATTCTGCTAAAAATGCTGTCCAGACTGGAATGATGCAAGCAATATTTTAAGAAAAGTTTACAAGGAGATAGTCGCTTCTCAGTTTAAAAGTGATTTATTGTATAGTATTGATAAGCATTAATTTTGATACCATATGTACATTTATTTGGAATGTACCTTGAGTTTACAGTGTTTTTGCCCTTTTCTCAAACTGATGATTGACTTCCACTTATTTTTATATGCTGTGGTCCTTAATTACGGAATAAGTATTTATCCCATACTTTCCATCTTCACCATTGTAGAGGCAGTATTCCATAATGACCAAACTGCCATGTGTTGCCTGCAGGTTTGAATTAGATTGCAATGGGAGACTTTTAAATGCTAATCTGCAAAAAAAGTGTGCATCCATGCATGTACTTAAAAAAAATAAACTTACAGATGCTATATGCTTATGCACAGACTTAAGACATGAATATGTAAACGTTTCAAAGAAATGAAAAGGGTGTGGATATCGCTGCAATTACCTGCATAATATACCATACAATAAATGTTTTGGTTTGCTTTGTCTTCCTTCTCTAAAATGTGGTCTATGAGTGTACCATGGTACACAGAAATCATAGTTAAGCCTATGTCAAAATCATGATATATTGTCAAGTGTCTTTTGATAAATTCAGAATGAGTAAGAAACAATTTTTTCTTTGATTAAAGAATGTACTGAATCTGGGTGGCAGCGTAAAATTACCTTAAAGTTTTACATTCTGTATTCACATACTATTACTGTATACATTTCCTTTACAAAACCTTTAGAAGTTAGAGCTTCTTGAACATGTTTTAAAGGAATAATGCCTCTAACTTAAGTTTTAACTGTCAGCAAACATGTCTTTAATGTTTCCGTGGATCTTACCTCTGTCTAATATTATTTCCCCACAGAATGTATTTTAACTCTGCTTACATCATTCCCTTTAAAAATTAGCTACTTATCAGTGCAGCCATTTTACTGATGTTATACTTCACATAGTGATAACATTAGAAGAGTCATAGAATGCCATGATCAAACTACTTTTACTTATTATAGTACTCATATTTGTCTGTTGCCAACACAATATCATGGTGTGAAAGAGAAGATTTGGATTATCAGTATGATTAATTGGTTCAGTATTGTATTATAACAGTATTGTTTTTAAAGCATTTGTTTTCACTTGAATCCTCCAAAAGTTTTTTTTTGTTGTTTTATAGTTACTGGACATGTATGTGTACTGTAACAAAGTAATAAGTAGTTTCAAAGTGCACAATAAAATCAGAAAATGCATTGGCAATAGAGAATGCAAAATAACAGCTACTGCTCTTAAATTAATGTGATGCTCTTTTAGAAATAGAAATTTATCCTGTACAATTCATAATATGTGTTTTCATGTCAATGATAATTAAAAGTTAATATTCCAACTTTTTAGATTATACAGTTTTGATAGAATAACATTTACTTGGGACATGAAAATACATCTATACAGCTTGTTCTTGGTTTGGTCATGACTTTGGAAAAGTTATTTGTATTAACACAAACTATATGAAGTGTGATCTAAAATGCAGCCACACGATTGGAATAATAAAGCAGTACAAACTGTGGAAGGCACCCATTCCTAACTTATAGGAATTTTTTTTAAGATTTCTTGTATGTGGCTCAGAATAGTAGTCTAATTATTTCAGCAATTCCTTATATGAAAACATGAAAATATTTCATTGAGGGGGAATACATAATACAATTTTTCTAATCTTGTGACCTCACCTGTAGTAGAGCAATTTGGCATTATATATTGTATATCAAAATTATTATTTTAATTTCAGAGCATGAAATACATGCAAAATATTTTGATATGCATTTCAAACATTAATGTCTATTCAAAATAATTTAAATTTGAAAAAATAATGGTATATGTGGGTTTTAATTCACAGAAATTAAATGCCTCCAGTTCATCAGAAGGTAGCACAGTTGATATTGGACTACCTCCAGAAGGAGAGCAGCCAGAAGTAGAACCTGAAGAATCTCTGGAACCTGAGGCTTGTTTTACAGAAGGTAGGAAAAGCAAAATATATTCACATGATAAGGTCTAATTTTGTTGGTGTGGGCTGGGTTCTATTCTCAGTTAAAATCAATAAGCTGACTTGTGATTACAATTATATTTTTTTTTGTATGAGTATCTCCTTCATAGGTGCTGTTGTAGTGCTCCCTTTCTCCTTGATAGATATTATAAAAGCTACAGAACTTCTATTTCAAATATTGAAAGTAAGGCCCTCAAATATTCAGAAAGATACTTATTTGCAGCCATCTATTGCAGTAATTCTGAAATGAGCCAAATTGCTTTTGTTCATCTGTAATTCCTAATAAATATTAGCCTTTTTTTTGACATCTCAATTTATTATCACACTTAGGCTGTGTGCGAAGATTCAAGTGCTGTCAAGTCAGTGTAGAAGATGGGAAAGGGAAAATCTGGTGGAATCTTAGGAAAACATGCTATAAGATTGTTGAACACAACTGGTTTGAGACCTTCATTGTCTTCATGATTCTCCTCAGCAGTGGTGCGCTGGTAAGTTAAGATGGAACAACTATGTCTATTTTAGCAAGCATTTGGAGTTACAATTCATTTTTATAGCTACAGTAAACATCAGAATTTGATATCCAATTCAGTGATGTTCTAATGCCAATGTATTTGAACAAATATTTGGCATATGTTGTGGTGAACTTGTAAGTTTTCTCTCAGGCTATGAAAGAAATTGTTAGATGAGTTAAAAATGTAGCTACTGTTCATGAGAATAAGAAATCAGCTACATGAGTCTGGTGCTCACATCTCCATATTCTTTTTATATACTAGTAACTCTTTTTTCTCAGAAGAGATGCATAGAGTATGATTTGATTGCAGAGCTAGGAAGATATGAACAGCAACTTGAATTGCAAAATGAGATGTAAGGTATGATAATGATTCAATCAGGTTTTTTTTGCCAAATTGACCTTAAATCAGGTACACTGAGTAAGTAGAGAAGCAATTAGTCTCATAGCAGGAGCAAAATACAGTGCACTTGCTACACTTGCATTTCAGGTTGCAGTGATTCACTGTTGATGTAGATCTTTCCTTTTGAAATTTCTGTTTAGAATTGCTTTGTGGGTTGTGCGTATAGTTCGGGTTCAATTACTCATTTCTCAAAATTATATATCACAAGGCATTATTAAATTTCTAATGTAATATGAATAATTTTGATATAAAGTTTTGATACAAAGTTGGAACTGTCAAAGGGAAATCCTTATGCCAATAAGCTATTGCTATTCATGGAAACGAATGAAAATGTGATTTGGAGAATAGTATTACAGTAAGTTTCATGAACCATTGTCCAGCTCAGCTGAAAGATGAGTACTACAGTGTTATGAAGACTATGGTATTAAGTGAAAGGATTTTGGTAAGAATTTTGGTAAGAATATGTGGCTAATCATCACGTATATCTTTTCAACTCAAATACTCTGTTGGGTACTATATCCTGCATTTCAAATTAGGAAGTCATTTAATTATATCCTCAAAAATCTTTTTCACAGGCATTTGAAGATATATACATAGAACAACGTAAAACTATCAAGACCATGCTGGAATATGCTGACAAAGTTTTTACTTACATCTTCATTCTGGAAATGCTTTTAAAATGGGTGGCTTATGGCTTTCAAACCTATTTCACTAATGCATGGTGCTGGCTGGACTTCCTGATTGTTGATGTATGTATTCTTTTCCATATCATGTACCACAAGCTCTAAAAATCACAGGATTACGTGTTCAGATAAACATACTGCTCTAGCCAAAGGAAGTTCTGTTTTAAAATTGCTGTTGTGATTTGCTTTATAATTCTGTTTGGAAAAGAAAAATTATACAGATGTACTTCTTATTCTAGATATTTTTTTTCTGATATTCTGTAGTTTTATGAAGTTATTGAGCTTTATTGAAAGTATGCTTTTTTGGTAATTCTGCTGTATGGAATGGATGTTGCTGATCTTCATGAGTTTTAACTCTATGTGGAATTTGAGTATTTGAAAGCAATTGATTTGAAAGTTTCTAACTTTCTACTGCTTTAGTGTGTATCCTATCACTTAGTGTGATGAAAGAAAAATACTGCTAGGAACTCTCAGTACTACTCAGTACTTTTGTGCTTTTAACTGTATCACACATGCAACCTTAAAGAGTCACTTAGAGAGCTATAGCTGAGCTCCCTTGAAATGGGTACTCCAGAGATTTTCAAAATGCTGCACCACCAAGCAGATCACATTTTCTGAAGGACCTAGTACACAGAGTATTGTAATTTCAAGTCTTAACTGCCAAACAGTGTATGCATATTACTGGGTAGCAAAAAATGGAAGACTACAGATCTTTAGCCATGTAGCAGACATCCATTTCCCTTCCATCCTCAATATCCTGACTACATCTGTCTGTGCTAAAAGGGCATCACTCAGTTCTGCATGTGAAATTCCCATAGAATGCAAGGTAAGAGCGTGTCTTGACTCTCTTGTTCACTTGTTCTGATCAGCAGCAGAATTCTGTAGAAACCACTGCATACCTCCCTAGTATTACAGTATGATAGACCAAGAAGTGTTTATTACACAGAGCTTGGCAAACATTCTAATTTTATATCCATACCATCCCTAGAGATCCTATGCTAAAATATGTCTAGGTGCCATGTTAGAATGCTGTGGTTGAGTAAACCCCTGTGAAATATTTAATGGCATAAGATTATGTAAATCATCAATCAGTAGTGTTCTACAGAGGCTTTGTACTTTACATTGTCACTCTATGTTCACTGTATTTATCAAAATTATTCAATTCTTATTTGATAATCTCTGGTTTAGTTACTGCAGTGAACTTTATGAATATCTTTCTGAGATTTTCATGGGAATCTTTCTCTATAGCAATTGTTTGCATGGAAAAAAAAAAAAAAAAAAAAAAAACCAAAACCACAACAATTTCCAGAGTATTTTTTTCAAGTGTTACGTTGGAGGAGTGAAATAACTAAGCAAAGAGGTTAATGTGGAAATGACAGAAATGAGAGAACAGGAAGGCCGAAAGAGGCATTAAATTACAGTAGATGTTAAAAAATTTTCTTTACTGGGACCATTCCTTCCAAATGGTCTACTATAAATACATTTTTAAGGATTACTGATGAAAGGTAATTGTATTATTTATTTTACAGCTATTCTGTTTTATTTAATCATCTGTCTGCAGACCCGTGTCAGCGTTACACAAGTCAAAATTGATGAAGTTGTTAAAGGATTCACAGGGAATGTAATGAAGTGTGGATATGCCTAACAGTGAAGTTCCCTACCATCATCTAACAGTTGGTTATCAGTTTTGATTAGTCTTGCTAAATCTGAGCAGCACTGGTAGCTACAGCTGTTGTATAAGATTTTCTGGACACTAGAAATTTACGTTTGACCAAAGGCCAGGTCTGGATGTAGTTTTTGAGAGCTTTTACATTCTCAAGTTCTGAAGATAACATGGAAAGTCTTGTCCTAAATTGAGCATTCCAATTCACCCAACTTCTGCAAATTTTCTTTTTGCATGCGACTTCATTTTTCATTAAATACCACCAAATATTGGCTGGTTTATGTGAATTTAGAAGACATTTGTATACCATTCTACAAAGATGATTTCATCAACAGGTACCTAGGATATACTTTTATTCTGCTTTGTCTGACTTAAAAACTTTCTGCATTACAGAAGGATTCCTAGAGAAAGAGGTCTACCCTTGAATCTTCTTTGAAGTTCAGGGCACATGTCATCCCACCATATGTATCAAAGGATATACAAGATGAATGAGCACTATTGCCTTTCTGTTTTTGTGTAGGTCTCTTTGGTTAGCTTAACAGCTAATGCCTTGGGCTACTCAGAACTTGGTGCGATTAAATCCCTTAGGACACTAAGAGCTTTGAGACCTCTGAGAGCCTTGTCGCGATTTGAAGGGATGAGGGTAAGAAAAAATGAAAGAATTTGAAGTAATGCATGCATACACAGAAGCAATGCATGCAGAATAATCAATGACAAATCCATGCAAAAATGCTGCACCATCATCTTATATATTTTACATTTATCACTAACATATAAGCAAAAGACTTCATCTGCTTATATGAATTCATGTGTTATTGCACACATTGTAACATTTATTTAAGTTTGCTGGCCTTTCAGCAAATTTCATGTTTTCCTGAAGGCCCAAGGGTTTATCAACTGCATGGATCTCTGGAATTTTACTACATGACTGAATTTATCCTATGTGATTAAATCCTCTTACAGCTATAGTTTAAAAAAATCAACGTTTCCTCATAAAAGTATGAGCACATATACATATATATGCATACATGTGTTTTCCTACAAGTATAGAATGTCATATCCATAGTCCATCAAAAATCTTTTAACATACTATTATGAAAATATTAATTGGCAATTTCTGTTACAAATTAAAAGCTTTGTTATGAATCCATATGTAAGAAAATTGGCAGTGATAAAATGCCTTCACTCCTTCAGAGTAGATGACTATTGCATTCTACTTGAAACAGCATTTGTAGCACGCTGAAGATGGAGCTGATGTTTTCTTTTATGATTTCTGGCTTAAACTGATTGTTTACTGCTTTCTGTATTGACTTTAAAATGTTGATTGTAATCTGCAGAGCACTAAGAAGGCTGAAAACATATGGGAAGACATTTTTGCTGGCAGAGCTGGATAAGTTTGAGAAGTTACTATCTACAGTAGTTATTGCTGTAACAGTTACCAAAGCTGAGACCCTGATTTGCCCTAATTGGCTCTCAGTGTATTTTAGTGCAAAGTCAGATTAGTGATTAGTTCAAATAATTTCTTCAGTATACTGGAATGGACAAAGACCTTACATATTCTGCTATGATATGAAAACTCTAGAAATGTTTCTCTTATAGGCAGTAGTCAACAACTGGAGATAAAAGGCATTTCAGTTCCAGCCACAAGATGTCTGACATATTCATTCAGGGTCTATATGTCTAACTGAAACACATAGCTATAAGTCTAATCAGCAAATGTACCTGAGTTGAAAACTTATTGATGAATTAAAAAGGGTCCTTGTGTGATCTACCTGCTGTGATCACTGATCTTTGAGACCTTGGTTTAAAAGCTTATTAGTACATTTTTAAGTCAACTACAGCTTCTTGATTTTCTAGAGAAAATATGATGGAAATCAAAAGACTTCCAACTAAAAAGGAAATAGGTTTTGATATTCAAGTGGAAAATACCATGCACTTGCCTCTAACAAATTTCTGAATCTCACAGATGCTTTCTTGGTGGGCTGTCTAGCCACTCTACATTTGCTTTGGTACTCTACCACATCTGTTCTTAACAATTCCACAGTGATAAGTTACAGGAAAGGCCTGTTAAAATTACATAAAAAAAACTTTTCACACAAAATTTTTGCCATGCTTTAAAAAGTATTTTGCCTTATTCTTAGTAAATGTAGATTTCTATCCTGCTTAGTAATTAAGTTTAATTTTTCTTTTTTTTTCTGAAATTTAGTCTGCACAACACTACCATTTTGAGAGAGCCCTCATCAGAATATGAATTCTCATAGATTTCCTCAGCGTAATATGTTTTTTTTCCTATAGCATTTTTGAACAAGTTAGAATGCCTGTGCTCTAAGTAGCTACCTGTGCGTAGGTCGCTCTGAAAGTAATACCTCCTATTTATTTCCATGTAAACTACAAGAGATACAAATAGCACAATAACTCTATTTGATGGAGCATATTCTCAGCTACAAACACTGTTTATCGGCGTAGTCACTAAGATTGGCTATGCATTTTTGCCATTGATGAACAAGAGCCTGCATGCCGCGCTTGTAGAAATCTGCATGGCCATCTGGAACATGGCTTGTCTAACATCCACTGTTTGGTCTCCATAAACATTCAAGAAGCATTAATGAATGTCAGTGGCTGCAATGTTTTCCTTACACAGGAATACAGTGACACCCCTTTGCTTCATCCGCACTTGCACATGAGACTTCACATCATTTTGTCAAACTGCCCCTCTGCTGCCATCTGTCATACGGCAACTACATGTATTGGAATATTAGTGGGAAGGTTCAGCCTATACTGCCATAAACCCAACATCTGCCCCTTATGTTGTAGGACAGCATAATAAAATAAGAGGCATTACTTTCAGAACAGCCGCTGTATTCTCTCTTCTGAACTGAAAAAAAAATATTTGTTTTGAAAATTGCAAAGAAAGTAAAGTTTTCATAGTTCTTTATCTTCTGTATTTAGGTTAAAATAGGCACAATTCAGGATTTTCAGTTAAAAAAAAAAATCCTTCAGAACTATGCTGAGAAAAATGTCAACATTTGGGATGTTTTATCAAATAAAGGGCCTGTGTAAAATATCTTTCTAAAAAACACATTAATTGTTGCTTTTTAATCAGAACAATTAGCAAAAAAATTGAGAACACAACTTTGTAGCAAATTCATGAAGTGGAAATTTAGTGTGGAAAGAAAAAAAAAAGTAGTGCATTTTGTAAAGATTTGGGAGTTATTTTCCATCTCATAAATTTCATGGTGATGCTTTGCCTACAGATTTGATCTGGATCTGCTGACTGTATCTCTTAGTAAATCATCTGAATAAGAAGGAGATCTATGACTTTAGGAATAGATATAATAATAAGTAGTGCATGAAGTTAACTTTAGAATAAAAATAAACATGTTTTTGTTATTTAAGCAATTAACTATTGGAATAACATTTTTATGGATATAAAGAATTTTGGATTATTTAAAAAATCCTCAGTCTTAAGGTTATAAAGCTAAGTAGCTCAAGTTGGCGAAGGAATTAATTACAAAATGATTTTAAGATCTGATACCTGGAAATTCAAGATATCTCTTCATAATATATTAATTTCTTTGAACTGAAAATATAACGCTATAGTATGGTGTACATATTTTCATGGGCACTTAAAATTACTTCCACTGAGCACAAGATGTGGAGCTTCTGGAATGGGTACAGAGATGATCTGAGGACTAAAGCACCTCTCCTACAAAGGCAGGCTGAGACAGTTGAACTTTGAGAAAAGGCCCAGGGTAGACCAGATACTGGCTTTCAAAATACTTAAAGGGAGCTTATAAGCAGGAAGGAAATCAACTTCTTTTTATACAGAAAGTGATAGGACAAGAGACGAAAAATTTAGATTAAATGTCAGGGGGAAATTTTTCACTCATATGATGGTGAGATGCTAGAATAAGCTGCACAGATAAGCTGTGGATGTTCCATCCCTGGAGGAGTTCAAGGCCAGGTTGGATATGGCCCTGGACAACATGATCTGGTGCTTGATTTAGTTGTTGGCAACCCTGCCTGCAGCAGAGGGCTTGGAAGTAGATGATCTTTGAGGTCCTTCCAACCTAGGCCATTCTATGATTTTATTCTATGACTATAGTTCCTATATAGATACAAGAAATTCTTTTCTACGTATCTAAAAGTTTTAATCCACTGTAGTATTCTCTAGGATCATGGTTTGTTGTGCCTACCCAAATTAATAATTAATAGAAAATATTCCTCTATTTCTAATTAATGGTAGCATGTGATGTTTCCACTGCATCTTCCCATCACTCTTGATAATGGAAGTAAGTTTTAATTTGCATGTGAAGCTTCAGGAAACTGGACTGTGGGAGTTGAGAATTACAGTGAGACATGATCTGTCTGTTCTGTCCTGAGTGCTGTCACTCACTGCTATATAGTGCTAGGCCCATACTACTTTTTTATTTATTTATTTATTTATTTATTTATTTAAATAAGCAAAGGATGCTCTTAAATCTCTTTTTAATTATTTCTTTTTTTTTCTTTTCACTTGTCCTCCTTTCTTGTGCCCCTACTTTCAATGCGAGCCTGGAGCTATCTAGAAGCTTTTCTCATAATACTCAAAATTATATTTTGAGTGTCTTCAAATGATACATATTTTAACCTGGTTCTGCTATAGCTTCAGGACTCAGACAATACCAGAGAAAGTATGTCGCTTGTGAAATTTAGCAGTAATAGAAAGAATAACATGACTTGACCTGCAAAGTAGAACGAGGAACAGCATTCTCAGGTGTAATGAGACTGAAAACTAGAAAACAAATATTTTCATTATCTATCTCTTTATATTTCAATATTTATTTTTAATAAACAATACTTCTACAGCTAAAGATTCTAATTATATTTTTAATTGTATTTTTTAGGAATAATTGAGATAACCTTAAATAAAAATAATATTTTCTTAGCTAATAGATTTTTGGAAAATGTTTGGAAAATTGGAAAAAAAATCTGTAGCCGTTCATTATTCCCGTCAGACTTCCAGTTTTAATCAATAACTTCCTAGATCTCCAATTCAAATTAATTCAACATTATTATTAAGGTAATAGTTTCTTTATGTAGGCCTGCTTCTCACAGCCCTGCAAAGGCACATCATTGACAAATCTATGGATACAAGTCAGCATAAGAGAGCACTGCTGAAATAGTGAGAATAGATTAATCATTGATCTCTTCCCTGCTCATGAGTGATAAAATGCTGTATTGTTGTTGCTTACTGGTTTATAATAAATATTGCTAAGCATATTTTATTATGTTTAACAGATTATTTTGATTATTAAAATGTCCCTGTTAGAGATAAATATTTATTGCAATACGTGACTTAAAGTTTGTGCAAAAAAAAAAATAAAAAAATCAAATGTTCAAGAAGCATGGGAGAGTTCATCTAATGTTCTGTGCCTTAATGGAATCAGAGAATAGCTTATGTTAATTCTAATTTGTTCCAGCATCTAAATTTAACATAACATGAGTTTAATTGATGTCATAGGAAATTTATAACGTTGTCCAAAGTGTGGATTACCTCAAAGAGGTATTATTTTGACATAAAAGGAGCTCTGAAAGTCAAAGAGGTATTTCTTCTTTTCTTCAGGCCGTGTCTACTATATGTTGTACAGGATGGTAGATCTTCACCTACTGTAACATTTGAAGGTTTTCAGTCATATAAAATAGATATGAATGAAAGTTGATTTGCTTAGATGACTAATTTTGCAAGTAATGAATTCTGTGAAACCCATGAAACATAAACATAAGGCCAGCATTTTTTACAATTAGAAACAGACTAATGTACTATCAGATCTGTTGTAGTACCTATGTCATATAACCTGAGTCAGGTCATCTATAATCACATCTATGTAATACCTCATATCCTGCATTTTTTAAAAACAAAATCTGTGTTAGATTCTATGGAACTGATTCAGGTTTTTTTTTTGGAAAAGTGGACAGAGTTGTTCCGTAGTTATTACAAAAAAGCTTAAGACCAAAGCTACCTGATTTAGGAGTTCATCAATTTCAGCATTAAATAAATTAAGTCTACTTTAAGTCTTATCTGCTGCTTTCACAACCAGCATTTTTGTGTTCAGATAGCCTGCTGTTTGAACATGGCTGCTTTTCTGCTTTTATATATAGCCATCCAAATGAACATGGATACATCTCCCAGTTTTATTTAAAAGAAGTCTTAAAATTACTTTCAAGTAAAAATGTGCTCAATAACATTGATTAGGACTGTTTATCCAATAAAAACATTGATTAGGATTGTTTATCCAATAAAAATGTAATAGAGAAAATTTTTTTTGTGCTTGATGCAGTCAGTCATTAGAAATATTACAGATACAATTTTGTAGACATATATTAAGTACATATTTTTAAAATTATTGATTAATGCTCTTTGTTTTTAAAGTTCATTTTATATTTTCTTCTTTTTTTTCCCCATTACTTAAAGCTTCCATTTGCTTCTGTTTGTATGGTTTTCCTTCTAATTATGCTGATACTTTATCTTTCTTCAAAATTTGTATAGTATTATAATCCAAAATTATAATACAGATTAATACTGAATTGAAACAGAGAGGTACATTTAAGTCAGTCTAATGAAGATTGTAGTGTTTGTGTTCTTACACTGTATCTGGTTTCATTTGTACACCAGGTGGTTGTAAATGCCCTCTTGGGAGCAATTCCATCCATTATGAATGTGCTTCTTGTTTGCCTTATATTCTGGCTGATCTTCAGTATCATGGGCGTAAATCTATTTGCTGGAAAATTTTACTACTGTGTTAACACTACAACTGATGAGAGATTTGATATCAGCCAAATCAACAATTACAGCCAATGTGAGGAGCTCATTAAAAACAATGAAACTGCCAGATGGAAGAATGTGAAAGTTAACTTTGATAATGTAGGCCTTGGTTACCTTTCTTTACTTCAAGTGGTAAGTCACCACTCCTGAATGTCTATTTCTCTTTTTATATCTCTGTGGTTTACTTCTAACAGAAAAAGTTATTTCTATTCACTTCTTTCAGGTAGAAATACTTTTCCTTGCTTCTTTGTTTGGCATTATGCCTATAAAAATCCTTAAGTAAATTGTGGAGTATGTGTTTTAAAAATATATACATATATATGTGTGCATATAAATGCGTCTGTGTGGAAAACTGTAAGCAGAAGTGGATTTTTAACATATATAGAGTGTTTTGTTTTTTTTTTTTTTAACCTTTCTTCAAATGTATATCAGCCTTGCATCTCGTTTCTTCCGATTATAGATCAGCCTTGCTTTTCTGTTTGATTACGTATATAGTATGATTCTACTTGTTGGACGTTGAGCTTGGTTTTAAAAGAGATGAACTTGCAGGGGCATATGTGAAAGTTTGATACTTTCAGAATTCTCACAGCAGAGATAAAGATCTCTTATCTTAAAGATAACTTTTAATGATATATTTCTGTTTGTAAAGTCTCTCTAAAATTGTATTTACATATAATTAAAATTCTTACTATATTTTACAAGGTTCTAACTTAAAACTGCTGTAGAAAACATGCTTCCCAAGATACTTTGTCAGCAATTTTAAGAATCCTGTGAATTCATATGTTCCAAATTAAATATATTTCTCTTATCTTTCTGATTATTAGCATTTAAATATGTTCTTTAGATTTGGGATCACCCATGCTTATACAGTGCAGTGCATTTTAGGGAGGTCCTTCATCATAAATACAAGCTATTTCTTCCTGGCTGTATTATTTCTAATTAGTGTTAATTAATCATGACAAATTTGTTGTCATGTACAGAGGATAAATAGTTATTCCTGATCCAGAGAGGTATTCATTTCTGTGAGCTATAAAGTCAAATAAATTTGAATTCTTGCTCAAAAATTCTGTGGTATATCACCTCAACAGTTTATAAGAGTCATCCATTAGAGCCAAGAGCTGGGGATAACTCTTATGTGTGGATAAGTCTGTGACACTACATAAATAATACCAATGTAGAGGCTGTAGGGACTAACATAAGAAAAACAAGCAATTAAATTTACCCAGGATGTGTTGAATCGATATCAAGTGTACCTACTTTGCTCATACACAGAAAATAATTTGTATCGTGTGTTACTCATTATATATAAAAGTTCTTAATTTAATACAGGTTGTGTCCTTTATAGTCAAACATTACAATTTGCTTGTGATTCCCATATATGAATAAAACGTACAATGTTTTATTGCCTATTAATATTACACTGAGCTGGTGTTTTGGATTAAATTTTTAAACGTGGCTAGTCTTTAGCTCTTAAATGTTTCTGACAAGCCGTTTCCCAGAAAAAGCGTGAGGTAAACACCAGTGTTCTGTTTATAGGCTACATTTAAAGGATGGATGGATATCATGTATGCTGCTGTGGATTCTCGTAATGTAAGTATACTCCCTCAATTCCATCAGTTTGACTGTATGAGCTGTAAGACTTAAGAACATAACTTTAACACCATCTTTTAGAAATAACAGTAAAAGCGAGAGAACAAGGGGTTATTGCAGTTTTATAGTTAGAGAAAATTGAAGCCATAGGAAAAATACAAGAGACATAAAAAAACAGAGGAGCAGTCCTAAAAGGTCCAAATTCTCTGTGGTGCAGTTGGACCAAAATTCCTTAATTCCGCAGCAGACTGAACTGTTGCCATGAAATGCCTTTTCCTCCTCTCATTGTGTGTATTGAGGTTTTAATTACATTTGGAAACAGGCATGGATACACAGCTTAGAGATTATGGTTTGTACCACTAATCTTTTTTTAAAGGTGAGATTTTCACTATCTTCTGCAAACAGCCTGATTTTTCTTCAGGACACAGTTTCTATTCTTAACTTGGCCTGCGAATTTTCATACTGTTTTGTCTTCCCCTTCCTTCCTTGGTGCAAATTGTGCTCTAATTGTAAGTAAACAACTAAATAAACTATAGTGGTGAAACTCCAAGTTTTTTGTAAGCTACACTCACAGCAGGAGATCTGTTATAATATAATAAATGTTCACAGCTGTACCAAAAAAACATGCTCACTCTAAACATTGTTTGGATGCCTTTCTTTAGCCTACCGAGGCCACTGCAAAGAACATGTGTTGTAACCTGCATTGGTCAGGTTTTTGAGTTAAAACTCAGGTTAAAATTAGGGTAGATTGCAGTGAGATGTAAAACAGTAAGAAAAGAAGTTGTACAAAATTAATATGTAACAAATAGTAAAATCCAGGGAAGCTTACTTAGTGCCTGTAGTAGTGAAGCTCTACAAGCCTACACTGGTGGCTTCTCACAAGATACACTAAGATCTTCACAGCTTTAAAAGTTGATGTTTCTGGTTGTGTACAGATTCAAATGGATGGTAATCCTAGTTTAAAAAAAATTGTGACTTCAATGTTTACATAATATAGTGAGTAAGAGTTTTGGAAAATGAAGTATCAAGTTCAATAGCAAAGTCTTTTGTCAAGAATATTACTTTATAAATACTCAGCAGCTATTCAGCTCTGTGTCCACATTTAAACTAAGGCTTAGTGTCTATGCCTTTCTGCAGGTTTTGGATCAGCCTAAGTATGAAGATAACCTATACATGTATCTTTACTTTGTCATCTTTATAATCTTTGGATCATTCTTTACCTTGAACCTTTTCATTGGTGTCATCATAGACAATTTCAACCAACAGAAAAAAAAGATAAGTATTTCATCGTTACTCAGAAAAGAAAGCTAACAGTTGATCCTTTTGGTCCACAAACAGTAACTTTATTTTCTTTTCAGGCTTCATTTTAAGATAACCCACTTTGCATATTAAATACATAAAGTTGATATAAAGCAGTACAGTTTGTCTTGATAAATGTTGTTTGACAGACAAGTGACAACAGAAGTCTTTCCATGGTTAGTGAAATATTCAATACTGATGTAAAGATGTGGATTTCAGATTGGAATCTTTAACAAGATTATAAAAAAAAATAATCACTGAAATACTTAAATGCAGCTATAAAACCTCTTAGTTGTGTTATTGTCAAATCTCTGAGCTCAGCAGCCTAGATTTCTGAGCTGTAATAGTAAGTATTTTAATAAATTTATTTGTCCTCCCTTTAGTCATCTTATTTTGTCAACACTGCCTCAAAAGGCAGCAGTGTTTCAGCAACAAAACTGAATTAAATTGTCTGGAAGGACAATGAACTGGTGGAAATGCTGCTGGAGTCATGTATTGAAATTTGTTGAGATGGAGAGAAATTGGCTTTTTTTTCCTTCTCAATCCATGTAATAGTTCCAGGATCTTCTGCTCCAAGTCCTGCATTTGTGGTTAGAAAATAAAAGTTGTGAGATTTAATTGCATGACTAACTTCTCATCTTCCTTTGGTATCATAGAAGTCAATTCTAATATTTTGCCAAAATTTACTCAAAAGGAAAAACAAGAGCACAGGATTGGAATGTTTTGTTCATTCGTGTCTCCATAATAACTTCAGCAGAACAAAGAAAAAGCACTTCTCCTTCCTGAAGGTTCTTATTACCTGTATCACCCAAATAAAAACAAGAAATCTATCATTTAAAGTTCAAGAATCTTTCAAAAAATATCCTAAACTTTGAAAGTGACATTTATAAAGCAATTTTTTTGTTACTCATATACTAATAATCAAGATAAACGGGAACTTAGATGTCTATTCTAATTTTCCCACAGATTAGAATGAGAGTGATTATTATTAATATGTATTCCTGTTTATAAGTAATCAATAGAAATATGTGATTTTAACCAGTTTTTGTCTCTTCGCTTTACTTTGGAGGTCAAGATATTTTTATGACAGAAGAACAGAAGAAATACTACAATGCAATGAAAAAGTTGGGTTCAAAGAAACCACAGAAGCCTATACCACGACCAGCAGTAAGAATAAAAACCTTCTCTTTTTACATTTATTTAAGAACTGTTTTGGGTATGTCTTAGACTGAATTAAGTTGTAACCTGAAACAAACAAACAAAAAGATATAAAAAAGTCTTATTCATCTGAAATACAGAATATTTATCTTTTGTAGCCTCAACATGAAGCACTCTTAACCTTTCCTTTTTTCCCCTTCATTTTCTCTTTACAAATGGCAGTGACATTATATGTGACATTTTTTCAAAACAAAGACTAAAACAATGAACTCTGACAATATATTTGTCAAAATATGTGAAAGTTTTAGGGCATAGGCCTTTTCAGTCATCAAGGAAGACTGGAAGCAAGTTACAATATTATTGCCTGAAAAAAAACATCCTTTTACCTCTCACATTCATTCCTGCTGCACAATCCATACAATTTTTTTTCCTCCAGCCCTCCCGTGGCACTTCAGAGCAAAGTTTAGATGGTGCAGTGATTCCAGCTCTGCAGTTCTACTTTGGACTGTGGAACCAGCTGAGATGCCCACTCAGCTATCAGTAAATTCTCTATAGCTGAAAATGCAAGGTGTAGTAAAGGTTATTTTGGTAACATGAAGAACACTGAACTTGGGCTTGAAATTTTTCTGTGTTTCCTTAAGATTTAGGACAAATGAAGTGCTGTTAACTCTGAGCCTCTTTACACTTCTTTTTTTTTTTTTTTTTTTTTTTTCCCCAACTTTTGCCAGGTTAAGACTTCATTTAATATTGTGACACAAAATCTTACAGTGAACTTGTTTGAGATAGAAAATTGACCTTCGCAACTTTAAAAACTACCATGAGTATTTTGAAATCTAACTGTTAATGCTTATAGACATAGTATTTGCATTTCTGATTGATTTGTGTTTACATGTGCAAACTGGAAAATTCATACAAATGGAAGACTATGGAAGACATGAAATCCCCTTACATGCTAGATTTAATTAATTTGTAGAAATTTGGAAAAAAAGAAAGAAATTTTACCCCATGCATAACGTAATGCAACTTTGTTTGTTTTTTTTTTTTCCTTCCCAGAACAAATTCCAAGGCATGGTCTTTGACTTTGTAACAAAACAAGCATTTGATATCAGTATCATGATACTTATCTGCCTTAACATGGTCACAATGATGGTAGAAACAGATGACCAGAGTGAAGACATGGAAAACATTTTATATTGGATTAACCTTGTGTTTATTGTACTTTTCACTGGAGAATTTGTCTTGAAATTGATTTCACTTCGCCATTACTACTTCACCATCGGCTGGAATATTTTTGATTTTGTAGTTGTCATTCTTTCCATAGTAGGTAAGAACAACTCATTTTCATGAAATGGCTAATTCTGGGGAAACTGAAATATAATAGTATCATTGACTAATATGACTTGTTTTTCAACAGGAATGTTTTTAGCTGAGATGATTGAGAAATATTTTGTGTCCCCTACTTTGTTCCGAGTCATCCGACTTGCCAGAATAGGTCGCATCCTGCGTCTCATTAAAGGCGCAAAGGGAATCCGCACTCTGCTTTTTGCTCTGATGATGTCTCTTCCTGCTTTGTTCAACATTGGCCTGCTGCTCTTCTTGGTCATGTTTATCTATGCCATATTTGGCATGTCCAACTTTGCCTACGTTAAGAGGGAAGTTGGAATTGATGACATGTTCAACTTTGAAACATTTGGCAACAGCATGATCTGCCTATTTCAAATTACCACATCTGCTGGCTGGGATGGCTTGTTAGCCCCAATTCTTAACAGCGGGGAGCCAGACTGTGACCCTCATAAAGATCACCCAGGGAGCTCTGTTAAAGGTGACTGTGGCAACCCTTCGGTTGGGATTTTCTTCTTTGTCAGCTACATCATCATATCCTTTCTGGTGGTGGTGAACATGTACATTGCTGTCATTCTGGAGAACTTCAGTGTTGCAACTGAAGAAAGTGCCGAGCCCTTGAGCGAGGATGACTTTGAGATGTTCTATGAAGTCTGGGAGAAGTTTGATCCAGATGCAACACAATTCATAGAGTTCAGTAAACTATCAGATTTTGCAGCTTCATTAGATCCTCCTCTTCTCATAGCAAAACCAAACAAGGTCCAGCTGATTGCAATGGATCTGCCCATGGTAAGCGGTGACAGAATTCACTGCCTTGACATCCTGTTTGCTTTCACAAAGCGTGTGTTAGGGGAAAGTGGGGAGATGGATGCCCTCAGAATACAGATGGAAGACCGATTTATGGCAGCCAATCCTTCCAAAGTCTCCTATGAACCAATCACAACCACATTAAAACGGAAACAGGAGGAGGTATCTGCTGTTGTTATTCAACGTGCTTTCAGGCGTCACCTTTTAAGGCAGAAAGTAAAAAAAGTTTCATGTATATTTAATCAGGATAAAGGTAAAGATGAGGATGATCTGCCCATGAAAGAAGATATGATTATGGATAAATTAAATGAGAACTCCACTCCAGAGAAAACAGATATGACCCCATCCACAACCTCCCCACCATCCTATGATAGTGTAACAAAGCCAGACAAGGATAAATATGAAAAAGACAAATCAGAAAAAGAAGATAAAGGTAAAGACAGCAGGGAAAGTAAAAAGTAACACATAATTCTGTTTGCGATAAACTGTTTACAGCCTAAGAAAATATGTATTTGTGTCCACAGGACTCCTGTAGGAGGTACATGCCAAACTGACAGTTTTTACATATATAAATATATATATAATTACATATATATATATATAAAGAAGGTCAGTGCCTATAACAAGACAGTGACCCCTCGTCATCAAACTGCAACTCTGTAAAACAGGGTAACATCTTGACAGGAGGTTGTTGTTTTTATTACCAGCTGACACTGCTGAAGAGAAGATAAAATGGCCAATCAGACTGTAGGGACTGGTTTTAAAAAAGGTGCGGACCTAGGAATCTCTGTGTTTAACGTAAAACACTCAGTACAAAAATTGTATCCACTGTTTGCATTTCAACAGCCACATCTGCCATATTTTTACAAAAATCAGTGTTGGTGAACTTATCATTTTTTAATTCACAGGTTGTTTACTATTATATGTGACTATTTTTGTAAATGGGTTTTATGTTGGGGAAGGGGGTACGAGAACCAGGTGTTCTACTCTCGGATTCTCTATATGTACAGACAGAAGTGATCTGCATGAAGGCATGCTGCACTTGTAGTTCATGCATGGAAAAACATGACGTCGCACAAAGCAGCAGAGTCTGACTACTTCCATGTTTCAGGATGGCTCTATATTTTGAGGTGCTTAAAAACAGTATACATCCAGTATCTCATCCAGACAGATCTTAATGTGCCTGTAAATTCCCATAGTCTACAAGAATAGAACAGATGTTTTATTTTTTCATAAGTCACTTAAGTGTAGTTGAATGAACTCTGCATACAAAATTTAGTGAGAGACTTGGAGTCCATTTTTAAGTATTCTTCTGTAAAAAAAAATCTTACCTGAACTTGGGAAATTGAATTTACCAAACCCCACAAAACTTAAGGATTATGAAGTTGTTCTGCCTCACCCTGCAGTATCGTTTAGCCATCTTCTGCTCTCAGCAAGGTTGACATTGTATGTATTGATTAAAAAAGTACCGTCTATGTAAATAGTTATTTTATCCTGTGGTGCATGTTTGAGCAAACAAATAATGACCCATGCACAATATTTATTGCATCAAATATGTACCACAATAAGTGTAGTTTGCAAGCTTTCAAGAACTAAGATGAAATATTCTGTACCATAATAGATAGTTTGGAAGCTATCACTGATGCATGTTTATCTTGCCTTTGCTGCTGTAATTTTATTCCTTCCACTGTTAAAAGTTGAATATGGGAAGCCATATCTCAGTGGTTAAGTGAAACAAATTGTTCAGTCAGACATCATTCCTTCATGACATCAAGCAATAGTTTGCAGCTACTCAAGAGCTTCTTGCTTTGCATTCTAAAATGTTAAGTGAGTACTGTACGGTGTATAGTCGGACTGTACAGGATTTGTTGCAAACTGCTGAATCTGATGAAATACATGGATAGAATTTTCTAAGAAAATATAAATATTGTAAAAATATCATTTTATTTTTTTTTTCAGTGTTTTGTATATATAATAAGAAATTATAATTATCTTCAGGTTGATGTCACCGTCACTTTTGTTACTTTCTATCCATAGCACTTTTTAATTGAAGAACTTCACAAAATAAGAAACAAAGGAGAGGATGGGGTAGCTTTAGGTTTCTGCTTTTTTATTAGTACTGTATTTTTGCACATATTTTAATGTGAAGTTTCAAACTGAGTCCAAAATGCACTTGCTTCCAAATAGGTATAACTTGTAATTGAAATGTGGTGGGGAAGGTTTGTTTAAAATTCTAGCACTGCCTGCATCAGAAGTTTCAAGGTAGTCTTTTTATTCATGAAATCTTTACCAGTGTTTGTTTACATAAACTATTCTTATTCTTGTTGATTCATGCTGCACTAGAACTGTTCTAAATATAATATGGGATCCACAATATGTTTCTTTTTTCCACAGGAATTGAATAGCAAACTTGTATAACTGATCACATCAGGACATTTTGTGTTTCTTACACAAGCAAAAATTCGATGTTGACTCCTCCTTTTACAAAAAATTATTGACTTGTGTGTCAGTGAACTGCATGCAGGAAAATGCTATACCATAAAGACCAGTAAACCACATTACAGTTGAGCCAAAAGAATAAAGATTTCATTTTTTATTGTATTCAATTGTTCTGTCTTTGTTTTCATCACTACCAATTATGGCTATCAAGAGGTGCTGCGACAATAAGATATGAATATGTAAAAGTTAGAAGTAAGAAATACTGATTAAAACTATTTTAATAACAACGCTGTGGAAAGTAAAAGGTTGAAGCTGTATGCTTTCAGAAAGATCTCTAATATGATTTGCACTTTGACTCACTGGCTTATTAATCCTTTCAAATCTGTTCTAGGATAGGATGACATTATGTGCCTGATATGTTAAACCCTTTTTTATGTCAGGTGTTCTGAGAGAACTAGGAAAACAGATGTTAAAGGAACCAGCGACCAACACTACAGAACAGTATGTATCATTTCAGTGATATTCCATGTATTTCAGTGATATTTTACATTTGAAGTCACTAATTATCTTTGCATTATAAGGAAGATCTTGTTTTGTAAATAGTTATAGTTCTTTCACTTCAAGGCAGGTTAGGGTGGAAGCCAGCAGAAGCTTCGTTTGAACTTCTGGTGAAGGACAAAATTAAATCTTAGGGTGCTGAATGGAATTAGAATGAATAAAAATACTATAATGTGATGTTTCTATGGTGAATTTATACATGGTGCTGCCAAGGAGCTGGCATACATACCGGGTGTTGAGCACATGCTTGTGGGAGCACTGGTATGGGGATGTAGGAGGCAGGCATTAAACAGATGGGGTGGCAATGGAATTGAGGAAAAAAAGTGCATTGATGGCATCAGTCTTGTCATGCAGATTTCCTCATTGTGTCTCAGCTTTATGGAATCCATCAAGAGATTGGATCCATCAAGATGAGAAGAGGAATAAATGGCTTTTAACTGCTTTGTGTATACGAAAATAATGCTAGCTTGTTTAAACTTTTCCTATCTGAGGGACTTTTTTATAAGTTCAAGTGATAGGATATCAGAAGAAATAGTACTTTCCCATCCACCTACTGCTGTTACTTAGACATAAACAGAAATGTGAAGTTCATATGAGACTTAAATTTTCTTAATTTCCATTTGCCATTATAACTTTTTTTTGTTACTAACAGTTTTGGAAAATAATTTTCCAAATGATTGGGCAGGTCCTCTCCAGCTGGCGGTGTCGCACATACTTTGTTCTTTTTATCACTAAGAGCGCAACTGTGGGATAAGTAACAATAAGGTATTTGATTGCTTTTTTTCTTTAATGGAGAAGCAAGGCATGGGATAATTAAATTGCTCAAGGTCTCATAAAGTTACTCACCAGAAAAAGCTTTCGGAGTTTGAACTGGTTATGGAAACTAATCTCAGTTGTTTGCAGCCAGTCCCATGATGTCAATTCTTACAATCTGAAGAAAAGTTCAAATTTGGCATTAAAACACTAGTGACACATTTATAAGGAAAAAAATAACAGTTACCTGACAATTCCTAAGTGCTTGGTCATTTATTTGCAATTGCTCTTGTTTTAAGAATTTGTGCCTTGGATCAAGGTCTTTATAACCAGACTACCCGTGGAGCCTGTACAGAAACAGAGCTGTTTTCTGTACAGTGGAGGAACCAGATACTGTCGTGAGGCTTTATTCTGATTGCAAGGTATGACCATTCTCTGAGTGCATTAAAATGAGTGTTAGTGTACATCCTTGCGAAGTCCTCTGTAGTTCTGAAAAAAGTTTTTTTTTTTTTTTGCAATAGCAAAAGCCAAAGAGCCAAATTTTGAGGTAGTGATTGCACTCGAGTGCTGTTCCTGAAAAGAAATTTGCTCTGCTGTAACTGTGAAGTGCTGCCTTAAGCACGTTAAAAGCTGGGAAATATGGGCAACACCTTAAAGTTCTGGCTGGTTGGTTTTGTGGCAGGGGAGGTATGATAAAAAAGGCACGTGTCATATGAGTTACCGCATTTAGAAACAACCTGGGCTCTTTACTAGAAGCCTAGGACCAATAAAAATACAAGTAGGCTCGCTTTCGCTCGAGGACCCCCGCCTTGCCTGTACACCCGCACCCTCGCTGCAGCCACACCGCCATCGCACCGAGGCACCTCGCGCGCTCCCCCTGGGGTCGCGGCAGCGCTCCGGCGCCACCCGCCCCGCACCACGGCGCCGTCCCGCGGCCGCTCCTCGCGCTGCAGTCGCGCCGCCCCATCGCGCATGGAGCGCGGCGCTCAGAGCGGCACGCGGCGGGCAGGTAGCAGAAGCCGGCGGCCGTAGGGCCAGGTGAGCGGCGCGCGGCGGAAGGCGGCCGCGAGCTCGGGCGGAGGAGGCGGGCGCCGCACACGCCCGCGGGCGGCCTCAGAGCGGCGGCTCGAGCACAACGGCCGCCCGGCGCAGGCGGCGGCCTGCGGGAGCCGCTCGGCGTGGCTGCGTGGGACGTAACAGCGGCGCGAGGCTGGTGGATTCGGTGAGGACCTGCAGATGTGTCGCGCGTTCACGCAGGAGGCGACGGCCAGAGATGCGCCGAACGCTTCCTGGTGTGAAAGCTGGGCGAGTCGCGTTCCGCCAGGAGCTCCCGGGCGGCTATGTGGGTGGCCGCCGTTCGGTGCCCGGAGCGCTCGGGGGCGGCTGTGCGGAGCCGCGCGTAGCTCTTCACCGGAGCGCCTTTGGAGGCCTCGGCTGCTCGGGGCGGGCGCGCGGGTGGCCGCGGGGCGCCGGGCGCCGCGTTCGCTGCCTCACGGCGCGGAGCTGCGCCGGCCGCGGTGCGGGGACTCTGCGTGCGCGTCCCTTCGGCAGTGCGGGGCATCGGGCAGAGGCGTCTGCAGCCGGCCGCCGCAAATGGCCGCCAGGTGAGAGCGGCGAGCCTCTTTTTTTCTCGGTGTGCCGACGGGAGAGTGGGATTTTAAATCAGGGCGTACGAGGAAAACTAGCTGTAAAGCTGGTGGGTGTTATTGCTG